TCCAGAAACTAAAGCATGCGAAACATCCAGAAAATTTTTACCAGTATGTGAATAATCAGTTCTTCACATAGGTCTGAAATCCTGTAGACAATGGTTGTACTTATTGGTATTTGACATCAAGTACGCTAGTTAAACACAGGCATAGCCAGGAGGGGAGGCAGTAGCCTGCATTAATTGTCAGGGCAGGGGGCGAGCTATCGACCAGCTAGGCAGCTACGTGAACGCGTTGCAAAGCATTTATTGATATTCTCCTCGACTCCAGTCACTCGCGATTACCATTGTTAATGTACTTGGGTAGGGACACGAAGGCTTTGCACACATTTTTACCAATGGATTACATTTCCTCTTGTAGTGTGTGAAGGTTATTCCTTTATTTTTTAAACGCCTTCCAAAAAGTATATTTCTCAAATTGATCAGTTCCTATGTGTTGCTCTGACTAGTGTTGCCCAAATGCAAGAACAAGACGAGACTTAGCCAGTCTTGGTCTTGGTCTTGCACCAATACACCTGGTCTTGGTCTTGGTCTTGCGCTCCCAGTCTTGGTCTTGGTCTTGGTCTTGCAAGTCTTGCAATTACCCATTAGTCTATTACTATTTATTAAAGTTTAATTTAAATCTTAGAAAAACGTATTAGAATTGAAATATTGTGAGCTTGAATTACCATAGCCATAGTAAAGATCAAGCAGATTAATAAATAACTGAAGATTTGATAAGAAATTCGAAAAATCAACTGACCTATAACTATGTCGTTTTCCATGGAAGTAACTGTTTCTTAATAAACATTTATGATTAATAAGCTTACATTTGCTAAAACATGTAAAAAAACAAATTAATAGCAATAACTTGACTGTATTTTAAAGAACAATACTTATCTGTCTAGAAAGAGATTGAACCCTCAACTTATAAGAAATTTAATAAAAAATAGGTAAAAAAACTTTTTAAGTTAAACGGTTTTATATTAAACATACATTGCAATGTTTAAGATAAATGTACTAAACACCAAAAAATAATAAAATAGATACAGTCGTGGGAATTATAAGCATATGCATAGACTAGACTAAAATAAAACCGTGGGGCACGTCAATTGTCTACAATCGTTGATTAAAATGGTTGTTTTGTACTGTACACTACAGATAATTAGGCAGTTGTTCAACTGACAACGATGGACTTGTTATAAGTAGGGCTAGAATGTGAAAACGAGTTTTAGGGTTTCATAGTGGTGAGCGAGTACTTAGTACTTTTATCATATGTTTTGTCGATTAAAGACAAACTGCGAGCAGTGAAACGACTCCTCGCCAGCCAGCAGTGTGAATGTCCAACGATAAACTAGTTGAAACATCTCTCTTATTTACATGGAGTATATAACTATTGGACTTTCCATGAGCAAGAAAATAGTAAGTAATTTCCTCACCGTCTGCGGGTCAACTGCCTAACGACGAATTAAACGATTCTTCTATCGCACACTAATTCGATAATTTGTAGACAATTGACGTGCCCCACGGTTTTATTTTAGTCTAGTCTATGCATATGCTTATAATTCCCACGACTGTATCTATTTTATTATTTTTTGGTGTTTAGTACATTTATCTTAAACATTGCAATGTATGTTTAATATAAAACCGTTTAACTTAAAAAGTTTTTTTACCTATTTTTATTTTCTAGTTTTTAGTTTTTATTTCGCATTCTGTTCAATTCATTTAGTGCTTCATTATTGCAAGGTTTCTTGCCCGTTAGTTTATTGCAATCCAACTCCTCTATACGAAGTCCCTGCAAAGATCTTACTCTACTAAGAGCCACGTAGGCTTGACCTTCTTCAAACAATTTCGCACCTAAGTATACGACTGCGTGATCCACAGTGCTGCCCTGCATTTTATGTATTGTAGAAGCCCACGATAGTATTAAAGGCAACATTCTTCTTTCAGCCGTCCCGTAATTGTACTTAGCTGGAAACTGTATAGCTTTCGGGTGTATAAGATGTACTCCGTCTTTTGCGAAATCAATTCGGACGGAAGGTACATCTGTTGCATACATCTGAGTTCGACGAAATTGAGGCCAAACGATTTCGTTGATTATTTTTTATATTCTTCTTTTCCATTTTGTTCCCACGAGTAATGGACATTTAAACGGTCGACCCCCCCAGAGGCCCAATAAAGGGGCAAGGCTATGTACAACAAGATGCGCCTGAGTCTTGAGGGGAAAACGCTAACGACATATCATTTTTATTCACCCTAATGCCATACAGTTCTCGGCGCGTTTTAACCTTTTACCTTAACTTGGGTGGTGTACCGCTAACGACGTATCATTTTTAGCCACCCTAACGCCACACAGTCCTCAACACGATACAAAATCTTGAATTGGGTGGTGGATTCAGGCTGGATTATTCAGATTCCTAAATTACAGTTTCAATTTCTAAATTTAAATCTAATTATTATACGCTATTCTTAAATATTGAAGTTATATAGTGCACTGTATTCTTCTTTTCAACCCCTTTTATTTGATACCCACATTGATAAAAAAATGTTATCTGCCGTTTGGTAGCGGCGGCCATCTTAGATTTCAGTTTTGCATAACAAATTGTATTCTGCTCGTTGAGCTCTTTCATTTGATACCCATATTTATGGGATTGATAAAACCTACGTTATCCGCCATTTTGTAGCGGCCGCCATCTTGGATTTAAATTGTTTATAGTAGCTATATTGTATTCTGCTCGTTGATCCCTTTCATTTGATACCCATATTGATATGATTGATAAAACCTACGTTATCCGCCATTTTGTAGCGGCCGCCATTTTGGATTTATAATTGTTATGATTACACATAATTGTATTGTCACCAAAATCGAAAGTGTATGCAAAATTTCAGATAAATCGGTTGACAGGAAGAGGGTGAAATTTGAATTACTAAATTTGACCCAAGAAAGAATAAAACTGAGCTAAATAAAACCGTTTAAAAAGAGTTTTACGATTTAACATTTATTTAAATAAAAAATAAAATGCAACACAAATCAACAGCTTTATCATTAGGTTATGATACTTTATATCAATTTTTTTGACTAAGAATTAATACAAAGTAACCATCTGGCTGACTCATCACTCATCACTTAACCTATTTCTATGTTATCTAATTACTAATGATGCTTTAAAAAATAACCTCTCAGCAATTTCAAGTATATTTAAAAGTGGCTAAAATATTTATTAAAAGCATGATATTTGAACACTTTTTTGCTATTTTTTCTTGTAAAAACTTAATAAATATAATGACTAAATGTACAATACCTAATAGTACCTAAGTAATTAGTTTAAAACCATATAAGTAATCAATATTATAATATATGTATACTTACTAAAATGAATTAATATGACATCTACTACCTATCCTTACCATTTTATCCTAATCATAATACTACTTGCGTGATCAGTATAATGTATTCATTTTCATTCTAAACACTCTGAAACTTATTTATTCTTTGGAACACCTGTAGGCACTCTTAAAATACGAAATTATTTTGCATGAGTATACCTACGCCCTATGGCGGCAATCAAATAGTGTCAAATGTTATGATTTCGGCGTGGCGGCAACGATTGTTTTAGATTTCAAAAGAAGCCGCCGGCGCGTGTATCATAACCATGTACTTCCGAAAAGCGGCAAACATGCATGCACTCAGTTTGATTTTAATAGATATTTTTTATTCGCTATGTTTATGGTATTAGTCGTAATGCGCATAGGTCCAGTTTTTCATATACTTTGATACAGTTTTTTGCGTCTCATAAAATTCCTAAGCGTAGGTACCTACGTATACACCGAACTGTTACACCTACCTACTCAGTGAAATAGCGCTAAGTCCTAGCTGCAAGACGCAAGAGTCTTGCAGGCTATGTCTTGTTCTTGCTCAAGTCTTGCACGGTCAGTCTTGGTCTTGGTCTTGCTAAAAATACGCGGTCTTGTTCTTGGTCTTGGTCTTGCAAAAACGCAAGAACAAGACCAAGACTGCAAGACCAAGACTGAATTTGGGCAACACTAGCTCTGACCTGCACAAGTTTTTTTTTTTGTTACACTAGGATAAAGATCCAGGTTAGAATCCTATCTAGATCGGAATGAGGGGACGAAGATTTTAAAGAGAAATGGTAAGAACAAGTTTTGTAAGTAAAGACAGTGCAGGCATAACTTTAGGCAGACAAGAAAAATATGGTCATTCATTATACTGCAATTTCAAAATTATTCGAACTGAAGTTGTGTCGGTTGGTTTTTTTTTATAAATACGATGTCAAATAAATCATTGTCCTAGGTAATTGATTGGCTCTGATATTAATCGCCATGTTCTTTTATTATACGTTTAGTACTTGCTAGCACTTTTATGTTACCTCCACCATTTTATTTTTCAAAATCTCTAGTATTATTATGAATATCTGAGTAAATAATATTAGAACTAACACGACGGATCAAGTGACTAGAATATTAAAAGCATTAATTAGTTTAAAAAATTGTCAAAACTTATAAAAATCTTATTACAAATGATTATAAAAAAAATTAAAAAAGAATAGGAATCAATGCCTCCTGTGAGGATTGAACTCACGACCCCTGGTTTACGAGACCAGTGCTCTACCACTGAGCTAAAGAGGCGATGCGGAAAGTTGCGAAATTACGGACCCTGTTACGCAACGTTTTACGTAAAGTAATATTTTATTATTTAAAAAATATATACATTACTATGGATGCAAAATGCAATTTAAATAAAGAAAACAAATATAAGAAGGATTTAATTGTTCATGTATTAAAGTAAAACATATAGTTTATGTTTTTTTAGGATATTAAGTCTGAAATTAAGGTATAGTTTGATTTAACAACCCTCCTAACTCTTTCGTCATGGTTTAGAAACGGTTTTCTTAAAGGTTTGCGTACTACTTACCTATATTAAATAGCATGGTAAGCGTTTTTACACAAGAGGGCAGTGAAGAACTTAGATTATGTACTTTTCCTTAAAATATCTATCAAGTTATCGTGACTTACCTTTTCTCCTCCTGTCCAATATCTGCAACAAATAAATAGACAAAATTATTTCCTTAAAAATTAGCAAAAATAATTGCCGAAACCCGGGATCGAACCAGGGACCTTTAGATCTTCAGTCTAACGCTCTCCCAACTGAGCTATTTCGGCTTGATACTTGTGCGGTGAAATGTTGCAATGCTTGCTTAATGTCAAAATGAAAATTATGTTGATGATATGGTAATGGTATTGAACCTGTATTATACCTGAGTATGGAACTATCTTATATACAATTACATATGTATGTGCATTTAACCACATACAAAGTTTCTGAACAGTTATATAAGATACAGAGCGCCATCTAATCATTTGCACAGGAACTAGCAAAACAACTAACTAATATAGATGGCGCTACTGGAACTAAATGACCCAGAGCTAAGTGATTCCATAATAATAGGTACTTAGCCTATTACACAACATTAACACCTATGACTATCATCATTTGATTTTATTACACACATTTTTTCAACTCTATAAATATAATTTACGGCTAGCCATCATAGATGGTGTTGCAATCCACTTTGTAAATTATTTTATCTCACAGGCAAAAGCTAGAAGCAGATCAGTGAGTGTAGAAAAGAAAATAACATTTTATAACTCTATTTAAAATGAAATAAAAACATTAAATCCAAGGAGGCAAGTCACAAAATCTTAAAATTTTATTGAAAAAAATGTAAATAAATACCTACTAGACTAGAGACACTATATTATAAAGGTAGAATTATTTATAAAAAAAAATTGAATGTAATATAAAGCATAATTTTAAAGAAAGGATTAACACTAATACAGACATAACAATAACCAAGCATCCTTATGGGTTTGTTGGACCATTTAGGTTTTCTCATATTGGTTTTTAAAGAAAGCCAGTGAATACCTGTATTAAAATTCATATTACCATTATTATTTAAGGTAACATTCCTGAAAGAAAATAAGGTCCCTTACCATCATCTGCAACTGGTTCAAGTTCTGCCTGCACAGCTTTGTCCTCCACCATATTCCCTACATCGTCTAACACAACACCACACTTTTTAAACAAACTACTTTGCAGTCTCATCATCTTCTCTGTCTCTTTATAAGCTTTTATTTCATCCTGAAATAATAATTGAGTTAAACACAACATTTGGTAACAAAAAAGAAGAATCTAATATTTACTGAAACAAAATGATGTTAGTGTTGTTTTTACCTTTAAATCCTTTAACTGTGTATGAGATCTACTAGAGAGACATTCTCTCAAATGTGTGTTGGACCACTTTTCTCCATTGCTTTCTAAAACAGAAGGGGCTGATTCCTGCACCCGAAAATTCGACTTTTTTTTATTACTATTTGATTCTCTCGTCTTGGAGAAGTTTGTGGCCACGCGAGGTGGACAGTCGATCAAGTTCATAGATCTGATAGTCTTACGAGGCTTCACCACATATGTACGTTTAATTTTCTGACGACTTGGTTCTGGTTCATAGTCATCTAAGTAAGTAGGGAGTTCATTAAAAATTCCTGAACTTACATTAGAACTAATTGTTTTCGCGCCAACTCTTACAGATGACGGTATATCGTGGCGTGTTACAGTTGAACTTAGTCTTAAACTAGATTGTGACTGGCTATGAACACGAGACATCACTCTATCATATCTTTTTTTATGATTTTTGAGAGCAGTATCCATTATTTTCAAATTAATGCCGGGACTTCGAAATCGCGTTGTTTTGCAAACAACTTTGACAGTTTTGACAGTTGACTTTTTTAGTTGAAGTCTTATTTTTTCTGTTGGCAAATAAAATCAGTTTATCGGAATACTAGGATTTTAAATCAACCTTATGATCCTCAATACGTGAACAATGTTTGTAGCATGTTTCATTGTTTGCTGCTTTGACAAAACATATATGCTTTTAAAAACATATATATTTAGAATTAGGAGTACTAATAGCGAAAGGAGATCTGTCTAACCGAGGCTCCAATTTTTCCCATATAGGTATGTGAATACATTTTAGTCTGAAAAAGGCATGTTTGGGCAAGAAAGGATCGGTCCGAGTGATAGTTGTCATACCATGGTCCTACACGATGCGCTGTGTTTCGCCGTACGAGTGAAGTAAACGTAGTGGTTACATACTCTTTAGAGTGAAGTTTCCGAGGGGTCAATCCCTCACTGCCTCTCAGTTCCTTTTCCCAACCTATAAGAGGTGGGACCCACTTTTAAACTCCTTTAATGTTTTGGGGATTCATAGGTGGCGCCGATTGTTTACCATCAGATGACCGGTCTACTCTTTTCCCATTCCAATGTTTAATTTTCTTAAATTAATTAGTTGGTAAACATCGTGAGGGAACCTGGACTTATAATTTCTAATTCATAAGTTTGAAATCGCCTACCCGCATTGCGCAAGCGTGGTGATTAATGCTCAAACCTTCTCCGTGTGAGAAGAGGCCTTTGCTCAGTAGTGGGCACTTATAGGCCTATAGGCTTATAGGGATGATGAATTAGTTGGAATGACCAAAAATTTATTCCAATTAATTATATTGAATTAGATAATTCTATACAAAAATAAAAATTTGGTAGTGTTTGTTGATATTTTAGAATCGAAAATACCAACTCCAAAATTTGATTCACCCTATCAGATTAAGTGTAAATAATACACAAATTTCATACAGTTTATTTTTATTGAGCCACTACTAACTTACTAACAATTCCTTACATTTAAATGCTAAAAGACAGTTTTTTTTTATTTTCAATGTTGAATTAAATGTATCTTTCTATTTTCCTACTAGCTCATTATGTTTCACATCATAAATGTGCTTAGCTTCATTCTGATATTCTTCACAAATTGCATTGATCTGTTTGGATACATTAAATGCTAAATCTTCAGATATACTGCTTTGTTTCTTAACTTTTTTAATAAAGTCTGCTTGCACATCCTTTACTGAATCTCTACATTTTATGTACAATGCCTTGGCATTCTTTGCCAGTGCTTCTCTATGTTCCTTTGTGACTTTTGGCACTGGAACATACAATGTGGTTCCGTCTTGCTGCGGATTCAAATTCAGACCAGAGCCCTGTAAGGCCTTTAATGCGTTTGGTATGGCTTGAGGAAAGGAAGAAAAGTTGATTACGATAGTTTTAGGATTTTTGCGGACTATCTGTGCTAGTTCCTGTAACTCATAATCTTTGCCTTCAAATTTTACCATCAACGATTCCATTGAACCTGTGGTAGATCTAAGAGACAGATTCTTGGCAAAATCTTCTTTCATTCTCTCAATAGCTGCATTGCACCTTTCTTTCATCTTATCCACTGGAACCACCTCGGATATTGCCGCTATGTTTACTTCTACTTTACCTCCTTTACCTTTCTTGTCCTTCCCTTTGTCTTTGCTTTTAGCATAATTTCTTACTACAGTAAAATTCACCACATTTGCGTAAATAACTCTTTCTTCCCTAATAACATTACGACTCAAGACATTTTGATGATTGCTTCTTATGCAGTTAACTGCAGGAGTTAGAATCCGTTGTAGTATCCTAGTACCCATCGCTCATGTAAACCTAGTATGTAACTTGTTTGCTTATTTCGGTGAAAAGCAAGAACAATTGATATCTATAAATAAAATGCACACTACAACATTATAAAGATAACCTAAACTCAACTTCAAAGATAGAAAATGACAATATGTTTACGGCAGAAGACAGCTGATTTAATTTGACAGTTTCCAATTATTTATACGTTCCTTCTTCGTTTTTGTGCGCATAAAATAGTAACAAACAAAAAATAATTAGTTTTAAAGCGCTCAATCTAAACGGAATCGGACTTTTTATTTAAGTTACTAAGTAACTTTTTCATAAAACATATACCCTGAAGCAAAACCAAACCAAAATCCAAATAAAATTATTAACAGAACACCCGGTTTGTGAAAGGCTTGTCAATTCATTGATCAACTAATCTCGGTAGTGTTGAGTAGGACATACAAGAGGCAGTACATTTGTCCCGTACATGACGTCAAAATGTAAGAGCGGCTCAGCACTATAAAATGTACTACTTCAAATTTTATGTCGCGCTCGTCACTCATCGTAAGAGAGAGAGGAAACGAGCTAGGTACATGCTACAATAGTACGACATTCTTCAATGGACCGATGACGATGAGCCGCGACTCGACTAAATGGACTACCAATACCAAACTAAATACGATGAGGCGCACGGGTTTTTGGCGATTAAATCCCGCCAAAAAACCTGGCTGTTTAAATTTTTCGCAAATTGATTCCTATTGGATATTTTGATTATCTAAATTTTAAATACACATAGTTTTATAAATTGACAAAAACGACAGATAAAAAAAAAAACGATTAGTCGCGCATTCGGTGCATTGAAAGTATTGAAACGTACCTTACGTACGTTACCGTTTTAAATTTAAAATATTTGTATTGGTGAAATTGACGTTTTGCTGTGTGCTTGTGAAATTAATAAGTTAATGAAAACTATTGAAAAGTATTATCTCTGAGTGACAAATATTCATGTAAGTCTTTGAAAATATTATTATGAATGACTTTCAATAACTATTTATTATTTTTTTATTTTGTGTTAATATTTTAGTGGGGTTTACTAATTTTATATTGGTTATGGTTGATACTTTTGATTTTTTGATAAAATTTGAATAATGGTTATAGTTATGGGTGTAAGTTTAATATGTAATAATATAAGGAAAATATGTTATAATGAGTTCGCCTATGTACCACCACTGTTCCTACATAAAGTTTTAATAAAATAATAGTAACAGTACTTCAATTATTCTCAATAATTAAATATGTACCTATTAATTTAATACAATTATGTACTTATTATATTATATCGTACGTAATCTACTTCATATTTTTGAATGGTATTATTATATACTTAATATGACATTTTTCTTTTTGTTTTATGCATGCGTAGTATGTCTGGTGACAGAAAATCTTCGAAAGCTTGGCAGTTTTTTACGGATCTAAATAATAATAAAGCAAAATGCAATTTTTGCCAAAAAGAATTTTCGTACAAAGGTGGTGGTGCTTATAATTTAATAAGACACACTAAAAGCAAGCATCCACATGTGTTCGTTGCTATACGCGAATGTCCGCTGCTTGAAAGTACAGCTTCCGCAACAGAAATTCAGCACCCATCAACTACGACCGTTTCAATTGCTCGAGAACTGAATACACTTACAGCTTCCACATCTACTGCTTCAGCTGCTTGTATGCCTGAAAAACCTGACTCCTTACCAGCCACCACTGCAATATTTAAAGCACCAGCTACTAACACCAAACTAACTCAATACTTTTGCAAGCCGCTTTCTGCAAAAAAAACTGACCAACTCAACAAAATGCTTGTGAAAGTATTCACCAAAAATTATTTAGCTTTCCACCTTGTCGAATCACCTGAGTTCAAAGATTTTATGAAAGAGTTGAATCCAGCATATCAGTTGCCGAGCCGCAAAACTTTGTCTAATGCTTTATTGACAAATGTTTATAATATCACAAAAGAGTCAGTTACAACAGAACTCAATCATGCTGAGTATGTTTGTATTACGACTGATGGGTGGACCTCTAGCCCCAATGAAAATTATATAGCCGTAACGGTCCATTTTATTAATCATCAGGCAGAATTGAAGTCATTTTTATTGGAATGCATCCAGTTTCCGGAGAGACACACGGCAGAAAACTTAGCCCAAGAACTAAAACGCATCACGGATATATGGCAAATTACCGACAAAATTGTTGCAGCAACAAGCGATAACGCGTTTAACATCAAAGCTGCTATACGTCAAAATAATTGGAAACATATAGCTTGTTTTGCCCATACACTGAACCTCATTGTCCAAACATCTCTGAAAGAAATAAAAAACATAACGACTAAAATTAAACACATAGTGGAAGTTTTTAAAAGAAGTCCCCTTGCATCAGAAAGGCTAAAAGATATGCAGAAAAAGCTAGACGAACCTCAATTGAAATTGAAACAAGACGTTTCTACACGCTGGAACTCGACGTGTGATATGTTCGAAAGGGTGCTGAAAATCAAAAACAGTGTGATGTCTACGATTGCTATAGACTATCCGGACACAGAAAATATGACACCCGAAGACATTGAGGTGCTGGACTCGGCAATCCAAATTCTGAGCCTTTTCAAGGATGTTACTGAGGAGATGAGCTCCGAAAAAAATGTCACAATTTCAGAGGTATATTGCAGATATTTGTTGTATTTTTAGTTTTAATAATTATGTTTTTTTTCGTACTAAATAGGTATTTTTTTATTAATTTCAGGTTATACTTATATCAAATGCTCTTAAAAAGAATTGTGTTAAATTTTTATCTTCGTCACATCCCGACTGTGTTCTGCGCATGGCTCAAGTGCTTTTGAACGAAATTAGTACAAGATTTTCGGGCATTGAAGACAATAACATTTTTGCTGAGAGCACCATTTTAGATCCTAGATTTAAAAAATATGGATTCGAAAATAAGTACGCTTGTGACAGAGCGTGTTCTAATTTAAAAGCCATGGCCGGGCGAATTGAACTTAATAGTGGTCAAACAGGACTCGAGGAGCCAGCATCTTCGTCACCGCCACCTCATAAGCGTAAAAGAAGCATATGGGACGAATTTGATGAGCAAGTAGAAATTATAATGAAAAATACAAATCCGACGGCAGGGGGTATTATTGAGGTAGATAAATATCTCGAGGAACCCCTACTGCCAAGATCTCAAGATCCTGCCAAGTGGTGGTTCTCAAAAAAAGACGCCTATCCAAGGCTTTATAAATTATTTTTGAGACGACTTTGCATTGTTGCTACCTCTGTGCCTTCAGAGCGTACTTTTTCCAAAGCGGGCCAAGTCCTTACTGAGAGAAGAAACAGGCTTAGTGGCAACAAAGTCGCTAAAATATTATTTTTAAATTATAATCTATAATATTTGTTTTATTTTTTATTGGTACCTATGGTATATTTTTTAACAATTACATATTGTGAACAAGATATTTTTATTTTTTTACCTACAAAAACCATTTATTTTATCAGATTAATCGTTTCTTCTTACTTTACGAAGCAATACATTATGTCACGTCATCAAAATGAAAAAGAAAGTAGGTAATATATATTACAAAGTATTCTGTAGTGTAATATTATGACAATCCATCAAATGTTATATTCGTACTAGTTACTTCAAATGTATCGCCGAGCTTAAATACGCCTCGCCTCATTTGAAATGGGACATTGTACCGGCTCAGTACAAAAAAGAGGCTACTCTTACAAACTCTTTTTCAAGTCGTGTCCTACCCAACACTAAATCTCGGAATTTTAATTCCATTCCAGATTTGACAATTTCAATGTTGCAACGTTATGACACGTAATAAATAGTGACGTTGCGAAATTATTCGATATGGAAATCGAATATTTCTGAATCGATTCCTCTCGTTTATAAATTTACTCTCGTAGACTAAGTTTATCAGGAAATAAAATATTTCTGAACCGATTTCTGAATTTAGTTTCGACAATTAATTAACGATCTGAGACTTTTCTTTTGTAATTGTGTGTGAAAATAATAAAAAATGTGATCATGAAGGAACGTGACAAATAAAACAGACATTTTATAAATTGTCACCGTCATCGCTATCGCTATCGCCGTTACTCTATGTAACATTTATTATGAATTGTGTCTTTGATATTTATTGTCAATTAACATATCTAGTTTACTCATTTTTTCCTCTTCTTTGAAAACATGGGATACACATTTAGACCATTCGGTAGCCGTAATTTTTTGAATGCCTTCCTGAAACTGATTCACTGATTGTTTATCGATTTTTGTGTTCATCACTACACTGTTATATGTGGTATCATTATTTCACAAAATGACAGTGGTCAATGTCAAATCAGGAATCGAATTAAAAGTCTGACTATAACATTCCGATTAATTTAACAAGACTGTCAAATCAATTTGAGTTTCTGAAACGTTGATCAGAGCATAATTAACTAATCTATGATTATTTTGATATTTATTTGATTATTTTAAGTAGGATGATTCGATTTCGATTTCAATAAGTACAAAAAGGCTTATATTAAGATCCAAGTTGTTAAAAAATAAAGAGTTGATTGACACTTGACATTTCAATAACAACAGATGACGGCTTAAGGAATGACAGATGGTGAACGGCGGTCTAAGTTAAAAAATGTCTGTATTATTTCGAAGTTTAGTAAATAAAGGCAGAAAACATTTGTTTAAGAAATTTTTAAACTCCACCCAATCTACATGCAGATGTGTCTTTTTTCGTAAATCTTCAGGTAAGTAACTGGTGACTTTACTAATTGGAGTTGTTATGAAGGTAACTTAGAGGTTATGTATTTATTCTAGGTAGTGAAAAGAAATTTGTGTCATTTGATGAAATTGTAACCCAGAGAAGGACTGAAGCTAAGCGAAGTATCGTCGTGCAAGTGAATTCGGAGGCTTCATTTAAGGAACTTTATGGCTACTGCTCAAAGTACGCTCCCATCAAAGATGTACATCATTACAAAAATAATAACGACGAGGTATTTGGCAGTTGTTCCTAGTTTATTAACTTAATAATCAACGATTTATGCTGAAACATTATCTAGTTTAAATATTTATTTTTAGCACTTCATGCTCATCGAATTTGGGTCAGAGGAAAGCTTGCATGATGTATTACGGTCATGCAGCACTCATCAGAAAGATGTGGACATTATGGCACTCAACTCTCCGTTCCTATGGTTTCGTGCAGCAAATGGGAAAACTGAAAGCTATGCTACCCCCACCACAGTGCTGGCATCCATTAATGGAATTGAACAAGTTGATGAGGATAAACTGTTTAAAGATCTAATGGATTGTGAAACTGTGTCTGATCAGATACAGTTGTTGTATGACAGAACTAGACTAAATGATTTGGGAGCCCGGCTAAGGTATATGGTGGCTAGGCAGGTAAATTGTACTTTTAGTAAATTATTAAGTTTTAGGTACTTTTCAACTAGTTAATATCAATTCCTATTCCAAAAGAAGATTGTGTGTAAGATTTCATCTTTGCTATGAGTCATTTGACTCATACTGATTTTGTAAAAAAATAACTTAACATAAAACTAAAGTAGTACATTATAAAATCTACTAATGATGAGTGATTATATTTTTTTCTAGTTACTTTTGTTACAATACATAAACACAATAACTTTGAAGTTTAAAAACTTAATTTAGCATTTGTTATATTATTCCATATTGTATTTTACTGATTGATCCATTTACTTGTTTTAGATTGAATGTGTGCTAGATAGTCTCTACGCAAATGTGGCTGTGAGACCATTTGGTTCATCCATAAATGGATTTGGGAAAATGGGATGTGACTTGGACCTTGTTTTGACCAATATGCTAACAGATGAAATGGTAAGCAAAGCATTAATTAACATGTTATAGATAGCTCTTGGCTGTAGTCTTGTGTTTATAGCCCAAAGCCTTCCTCAATAAATAAACTATCCAAATAGAATTGGTCAATCCCAACTTGTATTTGCTGAGATTAGCACATTCAAATAAACTATTCAGCTGTATAATAGTAGGTAATTAAATAATTATTTACAGAAAGCTTTTATATTGTACAAAATGTTTGATTACAATACTTTTAGTGAAATGAGTGAAATAGACAAAATTATATACTTAATATATACTTCAAAAATGACAGGTTGGAAGTGGATGCCTAAAGTTCTAAACAAAATAATTCATTAAAACTTTAATTGGTTTATAAATGTACACATTTATTGCAGATGTTTCTGTTACTATTTAGCTATATTTTATCATGGGGCACCAATTGCAGCTTCACCTTCATTTGTACCTATATTTGTGCCCCCTTTTGTTTGCAGTTTGCGTTTTTTTTAAATGTAGTTTAATTCATTTTTTTTTAATGCAGTATTTGCACATAGCAAGTACCCCACTCACACCCCGTTTCTGAAAGGCTTGTCAATGCTAAAATTTACTAATCTGTAAAATCTCTTGTCAAGTCACCTGATTGGTTGTTGATAATTCAGTCAACCAATCAGATGACTTGACAAGAGATTAAATTGATTTTAACATTGATCAGTCTTTCGGAAACTGGGTGTCAGTGTCCATTCTTACTTACTTCTGAAATAGACCTTGAACTGAAGCCTACAAATAATATTCAACTGAAGACAAGTTGGATTAGGTTGTAATATTGTAATTGGGTTTGCAGACAAAGGCTGGGTCGAGGCTGGTGTACCAGGACAAGCGCGTGGAGGGGTCGCGCGCGCCGTGGGCGCGGCACATGCAGTGCGTGGCCGAGCTGCTCGAGCTGCGCGTGGCGGGCGCCGCGCGCGTCCAGCGCATCCTCAACGCGCGCGTACCCATCGTCAAGTTCGCGCACCACTACACCGACCTCGAGTGCGACCTCTGCTACAACAACATGTCAGTACCATAATGAGAGCAACACGCTATCTGTTTATTTACTACATTGAATAATAATATAGGTACTAAATATAAACAACTTACTTCTCGCCTAGGCTATGGCGAGAGGGAGTGTCAGACTGTGATTAACCCCAATCCTGGCTAAACATTGGCCCTGTCGGACGTCTTCTGTGGTCTATTCTTTCTGTATTCGTTCTGGTCGGACGAGATGCTACCCTTGCTCGCCGTCCGCAGGCCCACCTTTATGGTGTGTGTGTGTAACCTACTGCGGCGGCGTGAGAAGGATAGTTTCAGCACGCGCTCCGCCCCGCTTCGCCCCGCTTTGCGACCATAATTTGCTTCAAATAAAAAAGTGACGACACTTGGAATCACCTTCCCAGAGACCGCTTCCCAGTTCCTCTTATTCCACTCCTTCCTTAAAGCACATTATTTACCTGGTCTACTCTGCTCATATTACAGGTCAGGCGTGTACATGTCAGAGTTACTGTGGCTGTTCGGTTCCCTGGACGACAGGGTGCGGCCGCTGACATTCGCGGTGCGGCGCTGGGCGCGGGCCGTGGGTCTCACAAACCCACACCCAGGACGATGGATCACCAACTTTCCTCTCACGCTGATGGTCCTATTCTTCCTACAGCAGAAAACTAGTGACGGTCATATCCTACCCACTTTGAAAAATCTTGTCCGAAGAGCCGGTTCGTATCATTCGACAATGTTAACTTGTTACATATTTAAATAATCAAAGGAAAACATATGAGTACAGACTTTAAATGTAAAATTTCATTTGTAATTACAGGCAAAGAAGACATTAGAATAGCAGAAGAGAATCTCAACTGCACATTCCTGCGGGACATGAACAAATTACCGTCGGAATGCTACGCGCAGAACAAGGCTAACCTGCAGTCGCTACTACTACAGTTCTTTGAGTTCTACTCACAGTTCGACTTCCAAGACAAAGCAATATCTATAAACGACGGCGCGTCCGTCAGGAAACCAAACTCCTTGCCTTTGTACATCGTCAACCCGCTGGAGCAGGCGCTCAATGTTAGCAGAAATGTCAGCTTCGAAGAATGTGAGCGACTCAAAGCGGAAGTGAGGAATGCCGCGTGGCAGCTCGAGGCAGGCATGGACAAACAGAAGGGCGATGACTGGGGACTGCTCGGCCTTATAGAGAAGAAAACTACGCGAGGGCTAAAGAAATTACTCCGTGTGGGGAACTCTCATAGACTAGTCTCAGTAAAGGATTTATTTAATGACACAGATGACCAAATTTCGGGAAATAGCTTAAAGAGTAAAGTTGAAAGATTAATACCCAAGACTAATCAGGAAGTAGAAAAAGGCGTGCAAGAGATGAAAAATAGTTTTGCGAAAGAGAAAAAGCCACAGAAATTGAAATTAAAAAATAGTGCCTTAGCTAGCGAAGTGTTCCGAATACGGAGAGACAAAATTATGTGAGATGTATTGTACTTTGTACATAGTGTACCATAGATAATATACATATTCAAGGAGACTGCCTTACCCTCTACATTACTGTCTTTTTATTGCAATATTCCAAAGCCACCAACTTTTTGTACGACCATTCGAAATAATTCAAATTCGGTACTTTTAATGATGTACAAGATCGCAAAGTACCTTACCTACTTATTTTTTAGAAATGAAGTATTCATAAATATAGTTTATATGATAATAAAGTATATATAATAATCACTGATTACTAATTATTTTTATTTGCAATTACAAAAAAAAAAAACAGTAGGTAGCCAAATGTAATGTTAAAAAGTCCAGCAAACATATGTTCTAGGTGTCAAGAAAAATAATGACATCTGGATTTCTGGTTTAATTTTTGTACAAGGGTCTTGTGGAAAATTATTAAAACAATCAAGAAAATCAATCTTAATTTATCATTGCATTTTATTTTTTGTATTTGTATGTCCCATTTAAAATGTATAAAATCATAAAAGTATTTACAACATACATATAAATAGTTGATGTGATTAAATCTTTAAATTAATTACAAATTACAATTCCATATGTTTCCTGAAAATAAACTTAGAAATGCATTATGTAACTTTTTACGATACTGTTAACATGGTCATGATGATCAATTGTTCAGTTGTGCGCATTTACCAGCGGATCGCGCCATTATCATGTATGCTATATATTTTCACCCAGCTCAATGCAAACTTTTCGCCCAGGATTAAAAACTATGGTATGATGTGTATTTACAATTATCTTATACACAGAGTGGAATAAAATAAATGAAAAACCTTGCTCCCGAACTTATTTTAGCACTTTTAGAATTTTCATGAAAACGATTCGGAGTTTTTGATGATGAAAATCCCTTTCATGTAGCAGCAATATCGATTGAAAATTCCAAAAACGCTAAAACAAAACTTTATTTTGTTTTGCCTGACCCAGTACCTACAAGGTTTTGCGTTTATTCAATAGCACCTTGTATAAATAAAACTATATAGTATTCTAACACAATTATTGCGCCGAAGTGTCACGTAACTTATCAACAAGTAATTTTATTTTTGGGTTCAGAGCTTCATTGCGTGGTAACTTGTGTCCCGCGGCCATTTTCCTATACATGTCTAAGTTGTCTTTGCATAGTTTCTCGAATGTTCCTTCGTAGTCTGGTCTGCTGATGATCTCCAATAGTTTAGAATTGTCTACTTTATATTCATTAGCTATGATATCCCCGCACGTGATGGTCCATATACTTTCTTCTAGGAATATATTGTACCTCTCGTTTTGATCAAACACTCGACACTGTGGACAGAAATTATACTTAAATCAAAAGAAAAAGTTGGCAATTTCTTGTTTTGTTAGCGCTTGTAAGGCATAAGGTCCAATGAGCTTAAGCCTAACATAGCTGTCGAAAGCTGTCTAAAGGCTTGAGATAAGCATACACTAATTTTATTCGTTAAAATTTCAAATATTTGTTTTTACTCAGTTTTTTGGGATGTGGCATAGGGTTGCAAGCGGATTATCTGATGGAACCCTAGATGAAACACACCACAAGTGTTGTTTCACACCGGATTCTGTGTGGAACTGGTGTGACGTTTAGGCCGTCATATTCTTGCAGAAGCATAGGTACCTAAATCTCCGAACATTAGAAACAAGGAAAGTTAAGAGTAAAATGTAAAAAACAGTAGTAACCTCATCGCTGACGTCATCAGCCATAACAACAACGGACTGGAAGTCTAGTAGCGCGATGAGTGCAAATAAGGCCACGCCCCCTGCGCCCGCGCACTGCCTGCGTATGATGTTCAGAGCGAGGCGCGCGGCGCGGCTGGGGATGACGCGGTCGTCCGACACGACGTCCGACACGCGCTGCCGGATGATTTCCTCGTCGTCTTCTAGTAAAGTTATTATTGTTGCCCATACTGTGGCTTGTAGTTCAACTGAAAATTAAATGCGTTATCTTTACATGTTATACTAGCTTCTCTATAAAAGTAAAGTAATGTATTCCGGGATTTTAAAAACATCAGCGTTTAAATCGATATATCGACAAAAAAAAGACTAATGAAGTCTAAATTTTGTTACTTTTGTTTTGGAGTTTTAATTTTGATACTATTTTTGTAATTTATAGTTGTAAGTAAAGCAAACTGTAGCATTTCTGTAAACCACTGTCGCATTAGGTCAAGCCTGTAAGGATATGGTGTATGTTTAAAAAAATTTTATAGCGTATTGCACTAAGGTACTTGTAGCTTATCAGTGAAATAATTTTGGAAATCCGCCCAGCGATCCAAATATTACCCCCTAAATCAAACTAAAAAGTTGTACCTCTTTATAACATCAGTATAATTATGTAGAAAAATGAAGAACCATGTCGCTTCTACTGAACACGATTAATGAAAAATTATCGGACGCAATTTTGTACTGTTTTACCAATAGACAGAAGTATAAACGTTCTTTCACTACTAATAAAAACACACCAATTTGACTACTTGCATCTTGCTTTTGAACTTATTTGAATAGATATTCAACATTAGGTACTAACAACTGTAAACAAGTACTTAAGCATTTTATGTGTGACTTTTTTGTTATAATTATGTTTTATATAAAAAATATAATTTTTTAACAAATAACTTACATTGTTCAGCGGCAGTCAGTTCCCTAGTATCCAGTTTGAACAGATGTTGGTAGTTCCTTTCTATGAAGCTGACAGCTACCTTCCTGGTGTTTTCACAGTTCTCCGCAGAGCTACACTCGTACACAGTGCTTATCACATTCAACACGACGCGGGTACATATACTGCCCGCTTGAATTCTCTCCGATACAAAGTTGACTAAACTTTGCAAGTATACGTGGGTCAGGGTTTCATATTCCGTCTGAATGCAATCAATCAACTTCTCTATAACCATATCATCAGTCACTGCAATCCCTATTTTGGTCTCTATGATATCTCGCTGTGTGTTCCCCTCAAGTACCAAGATCTTTAAGCTTTTTTCCCGACACTCCTTGTAGTGACTCTTCAAAACATTACACAGAAATTGGATGTAGGTCTTGTTTTTAATTTTAACTAGAGAAGATGGGTCGGCTATTGACGTGAGATGTTCGTGGAACATGTTATTGTCGGCTTCCAACTGTTTGTGAAGTATGAGGAGGTAGTTTAGTACTGTGAGTACGACTTCGTAGGATTTATGCTGTAGCCCGCTATGCACCAGGGTGCTTTGGTCCGTGACATGGTACCGGGTGGCTAGTATGAGGTACAGGTACATGGCGTTGGCCAGACACACGTCGCGACCTGCACTGATGGCTGTCGGCGCCGTTTCGAATATCAGCGTGTGAAGATGTGAACAGATTTCAGTTATTATATCTTGTGGCGCTGTCGAGGACCTGAAATTTACAATTTTTTTTTTAATGTTCTGCATTTGTTTGTGTTATGTTATGGTCTATCTGCCTAACTGAATGGTAACAGATCTATTTATTTTGATTTATTGGGAATTTTACCGCTAGTGGAGTCACTGAAACTGCTTATGGTTGGGGGATTTTCCCATTAAATCGTCAATGTTTCAGCTAAAGTGACTGGATATAAGGGGTTACTCTTTTAGTGCCATTGACTGTAAGCATTGGACTGAAGTAGATTATACACGTGTCTTTAAAAAATACCCATAAGATATTTATCTTTTCCGTTTTTAGGTCATGAATAGCAAACTGAGATCACAAACACAAAGAATTGCGTCCGTGCGTGAATTGAATCCATGGCTTGAGACGTACTGCCCGTTGCCCAGCCACTGCGTCAATCCCGCATTCTAGTTGACTGATACCTCACATTATGGTATTAGCGATCTACATATTCCAAGCACATATACCTATAAGAGAATGAGACAGAGTCCTAAAATAATAAGTATATGAAATAAAGTCGCTAGTTTAGTCTATGGAACGTTCCACTTTAAAGACTCGTTGTAAAGGCTTGCTTTTTTACACCTTACATAAATGGCTTCGATACAAGACAGTGAGTAATACAACCTTGTGACGCGACCGCAGGTAAAGCAACGCCTACAAATTATCGCGAATCCGCTCCGCCCACAGAAAAAAAAACAAAAGTCGCAAGAATTACCTATAGTATAATTGTCTTTTCACTTTGTGACCTTTGTGTATTAGGTAATATTATGATCTGCAATTATGCCCTGTGTGATGATAACAAAGCATCAACAAGCTTCTTAATATTTGTCCGAAGCTCCTTGATTTTTACAGTAGTAAAATCACAATACATAATATACATACATATGTGAAAAAGTTTTAAATGGGCTTCAATATGGTAAAATTTACTGGCGTTTTATTATTGATTAAGTAAATATAAATTGAAGAGGTGACGAACGTGAGCCATGAATGTAATATGAGCAATTAAAAACGTTTACGTACACAAGTACGATCTGTATGGTCAGTAATTGCGTTTGGTCAGCACAGTGTTGCAGGATAAGCGAGTATCGCCTCCCACTCGAGCGCAAGCTGCGCGGGCGCAACGCCTCACTCCGATCGCAGGTCCGAGTGGCGTGGCCGCACCGCCGTCGAGCGAACAGCTACCAGTCAGTGAAGTGCTTGTAAAGTGTGAACTTTCAGTGTGATATTGTGATACTCAGGTGGGTTTACGGATCATTGGCCATACATCAACTAATTAGTGATTATATTGCAATAGTGCTTTCAGTAAAAGTGATCGTCTAAGTCTCAAACGTGCCTATTAGTCGCAATTCGCGATTCCATGTTTTCCGAAGTTTCAATCGGACTGTGATTTAAACGATCAGATATTTTTATGGGAGGTGAGGTAAAATTTCTGTTTAACATTTCGACCGGCTACAATTCCATCCAACATTATTAGGTAGGCGATGTATTAGTAGAAAACAAATTAAAAAATACTAACGACGTCATATTTCCGAGGCGCTATGCTGTCTAAGAGTTTTTTTAAATTATATTGACATATGGAAGACCTGCCTATTAACCCATTGACAGCCACGGTCAATTCTCAACATGTTAATGGGGAGGAAAGTCTGCCAGACTCCAAGATAAAACATCTCTCCCTATTGAAATAAATTCCTAACGATAGGTCAGCAGTTAATTCGTCATCGTGTTTACCTACCTGACTAAACTAAGGGCAAACTGAGTTGAAGGTAATCGAAGTGAATCTAAATGACAATCCTTTCTATCGTGAGTACTTGTTTATGTTATCAAAACCCAATATTATATCGGTGTAGGTACACATGTTCTGTGTACAGTACGACCTGATCAGTACACTAACATGGAATAATTTGTTGGTGACCGTGACACACTGTTTAACTGCACAAAACATATGTGGGTGTAAACACAGAAAACAGATCATCACATATGCTGGTTGTCCAAGCCCTCAACGAGGTCGGCAGGGGTGACGTCATCATTATTATGATGACGCAGGACATGTGGGTCGGTAAACCTATAGTGAACGCGGGAAGCTGAGCCTCGTCGGCTGTAATTGATTAAGTGGTAGGATAAATGAGGCGACGAGCACACCAAAGTAATGCCAGCAGCGAAATGGTCGTATCCGGTGATAGTTTAAAAATACATGTTTTAAAGCATACACAACTAAAGTACACATAAAATCTTTACTGAGATCAATATTACATCCTTTTAGCAACGGTAAAAGGTTGCAATTTGAATGCAAATTGATTGTTAATGATTCAGCGGAAGAAATAGGGATGATATTCGTTTAAGCGAGACAATCAGCCATTTAAGCTGCAGAATGCATTGTGAATCGAATGGTGTAAGTTTACAAACGTTCGTTAAGTAGGGAATTGCTTCTCGAAACTAGTTAGGCCAGGCTTACTGTCCGATGTATTGAGGACTGCGGTTAGTGTTGCGGATTCTTGTGCGTTTTGAAAGATTGAAACAATGTAGTACTTACTGTCTTACTTATGCGTAAAACAGCCCGAAACTTGAATGACTCATTTTAATATCACAAAAACAATAAATTTTATAAGGATATGTGAGCGATTCGTTTTCAATAGAAGGATTTTGTCTTCTTTTACTTACTATTAAAAATAATCAAAACTTACGTCTGCAATGATAGAATCTGTCCAGTTAAAGAAAATGATTGAATATGAATAGAGACCAATGAGGTGAAAGACAAGCTATGACCTCAAACCGACCTCTGGTCTTTTTAAACAAGTGACAAGTAGGTAAGTACTCATTGGAAAGCCATTAGGAGGCATAGACAGAGGGCACCACTTAGACATTTGGCCAATAATATAAATAAAATTTATATACTTCAGAAAAATAAACAAGTTGTAGCGCAGACAATATTCAATATGCTGTTAGATTATATACGGGTAATTCATTCACCACGATTATCAAAATCCATGATGCTTTTGTAAAATCTCACAACAAATTAATCGACGTTTTGTATAGGTAACAAATAGATACGACAAATGTTGTGTGTTTGAACTTGGTATGGTTAGGAGACCGGTTTCTTTTATGTATCTGGCAGTGGAAATAACAATTTTGATTTTATACATATAGTGAGAAAATGTATTTTATTAGGAAGTAGCTATCAGTGGAAACAAGATACGTAAGTGGTATAGTGTAACGATACTCTACTTACCTTCGCGAAGATAAGTGGCACGAATCATTGCTAAAGATTAATAAACATTAATAAACAATATTATAGAGAAGACAATAATAAATAAACCAGCCCTAATGAAAGAATTAAAGCTTGTAAGTTATATAGTTACAGTTATACTGACGCAGGGACATATTATTTCTCCCCCAAATTTTAATATGACGAACTTGACCGGTCGTCAGGCATAAACATTGATGCAACCGTTGACTAATAATGACGACAGCCTCGACTACATAACTAACCAAGTTACCAAATATAGAATAAGTCCACATAGACAAATCAACTTATTTAAATTCATGTTAATGCAGTAGGTAAAGCGCTTCCAGTACCGAAACGGTACCACCATATATGCAAACTATTTACAATAAAAATAATTTATAGAGCTAGTGACACTATTTGCTAATGACAAATAAAGGTCGGAATATATGGATGTGTGAATACAGAAGGCTTATTAGAGCCAGTAGTTACCTTTGGTAAAGTAGGTTGTCTAAGTGACACGTTGCTTATTCGTTTAAATAACGTGTTGTCTCCATTCAAAGCAATCTATTGATTTTTTAAACCAAACACTACGTAGAAGAGAAAAGGTTCCGTGAAGTACAAGAACAGTATCTAAGTACAAACAGCAAGTACTTACACGGTAAATAAATAGGAAGCACAACATTAAGGCTAGCATTATACATTACAACCACAATTGACACAACGAAATGTAATTTGAGCAGACATAAAAAGACTCATTATACTGAATAATAGGTAGCGCAATATAGGTAAGAATGGCAATTTAATTAATTATGTAAGAAAAAGCGATCTTTTAAATAACAACAGAAGAAGAAACGTCAAAGCTTTAGAATTTAATACGTGAGGGATAAGCACCCAATAGCCAACTTATTTCAGATATGTATAACAATTTGAGATATAACATTAGTACGATTACTTGAAACAAAACTTCACAGATCTGTAATAGATATGATTAAAACGAAAAGATTTCAAATTTCTAATCGCAAAAACGGGGAAAGGAAACCGTTTTAAAATAAAACAAAACTATGAAAAAGTCTATCAGATAACCATGGCGTGCAACAAGCGGAAAGCATTCAAGTTAAGTGCGAAGCTGCTGGGATCTAAGTAAAAACTTAATCGTCAGTCGGACGAACATTGGTCGAACCGATCAAATGATTTGAAATAGAATTCTGAAATGATCTCATAATGCATTTGACGGGGGTCATAAATGGTGTGTGTGTATTTAATAGGCACCCACAACTTAACGATTCATTTGACATTGCCAATTTCATTCGTCCTTAGCTCAAAATAAATGCATTCAGTTTTGTAGGTTTATAGCAAATTTCTTGGCGTTAGTTCAGTTCGTTTGGATATTTTTTTCACTTTTCAACCTTAATGTCATTGTGGATAAAGATGTGAGGAAGAAAGCGAGGCGAAAAGAAACGTGTCTTGTTTTTAGGGCAAAGCAAATTAGACACAAAGTTGACAAAAAGCATCGCTCAACCGACCGTCGCGTCTGTTGAAACGCGCTTCCAAATTGAAATGTTATGTGCGGAACGGAAGACTTTTTACTATTTAGTTGGCCAAGTACCGGATGTGTGGTAACACTGGCTGATATTACTGCTGATTCTCCACACTTATTTTGACCACATATCTGTGGGATCATCGACATTACGATACGCATCATCTTCCTGTCATGAATCCACAAGAGAATTGGTCACGTTTCATCCGTAAGCAATCTTTATGGTGATGCATACTTTGAGATTGTATACGGATACTTACAATTTCTTCGTATGTCCAAACTAGAGTCCGATCCACGTAATAAAAGAAAACAAGTTTTTGATGATATTAGATGATATTCATTAAAGAGTTAAACGGACCGTTACCCTCATGAGAGCAATCTGGTATTTCACAAACCAGTTTATTTGGTTACTTTAGTTTCATAACAAAGAAATATTTTGTCTCAATAAAATTTAGTTTATGTAGAGGACCTATTAAGTTTAAACAGTACATCTACTTTGAAATTTATTAAAGCGTTCTTTGATTTTATTAAGTATGCATTTTGTTATGACTCAGCCATGGTTCATAAATTAATAATAACGCACTTTATCGATACACAGTCAATACAAAGGATCGCTCAACTTTTATGGAGTTGCGCAGGCGCAGGTCGGGGCAATTGCATCATGGACAGGCCAGACAGGTTGCAGATGATCAATACATTCATTTTATAGTATGTACGTTACTAGCAGCTTTGTAAAAAATATCAATTACTATACTATAAATAGAAAACACTATATTTTTTTTGTATTAAGTGACCTTAATAATTTCTTTAGAAGATTTAATTAAATTTAAGTAAATAATTAATTAAGTACCCAAACTATAGCCTAATATAGGTAACAAAACACGGTTGAACATTTCTATGAATATTAAGTAGCTATCTAAAATGTAGGTGGAAAATTAATATAAATTGAATGTGTTTTATGCTTGTGTCATTGGTTCCCTTCCACCAAACCGCAGCTTAGGTATGTACCTACTCGGCTGCAGACTAGTAATATAACTCTGCGATACCACCATTAGATATACAAAGTGTATTAATATTGGATCACGTAGTCGATTTAGTTAGCTGTACAATTTGAAAGTTTTATTTAATCCATCGCTCGTCATTTCCTCCGCAAGTAAGTACTCTTATGTAAGATATTTAAAAATAATTAAATTTCACTTAGGTACTTACTTTATAGACATGACTGTTAACTATCATTTAACAAGAATTAGATTATCTTGTGAATTATATTATTGTCAAAATTATTTAAGAGCCCATAAAATACTTAATACATTTCTTATTCCGGACTTTTAACATCATAATATACTTAAATATAGATATAGCTTTTTTTGAGGGGTGAAAATCATCAAATAATCTCCCTCGCTCTGGATGTCAGAGAGTGTCAGACTCTTACTGACTAAAAGCCACCCCCTTCCTTCTACTACTCCAGGCTGAGGCCGCGGTATAGCTAATTTAAAACTTTAAAGTAAACGACCTAAGTGTTAATATTTCAAATAAACTAATACAAAAACGAATCCTAAAACGCAGTGAAACAGACGAGCGGTTCTCTCAACAATAATTTTAATAAAACAGTAGGTAATTTCTCTATAAATTATAAAGGCGTGTCGGGCAATTAGACCGAAGCGCTGTCTGCTACCACTGGACCACTGTAACTGGCCACTGTACAACGGTAGCGTGCAGATAAAACGTATAACTATCATTGAGAAACAACGGATACGCCTAATCGCCAGTACCATTAGAGGGAACTTTTTATATGTTAGAATAACTCTTTGTTGACGTTGCGTCGGTATATCGTATGAACTACTTTTCCCTCCTAATGAGATAAAAACTTAAACTATTCGGTAATTATGTCTGCTTCTTTACAACTTGTTAACTTTACTTTAAAATACCTATGTAGTGATAATGTAAACAAACCAACATATATGTAGATAAATATAATAAATCATCAAATATTTCTTTGAAAGCAATCGTGGGAACAGTCGTGTTTCTCGTTAGGCATACCGAATGCTCGGCTGCAAACCGGTAGCGTCGGCAAACTTGACTTACGTTTGCGCTTGTATCGCACATTCTTATAACATTAAGACCAGATACCAAGCACAAAGAGTATACGCATATCTACGATTGAAATGGAACATTATTCGTCGATGTATGACCTCAAGACCGCTTACATTAGCACAAGAATCACTCTGGCATTTAACACAAATAATCTACAATCTCCATATGCAAACCATCCGATGGGGGTTACTGATAAATAAATGTGAGTTATTCCTTATTGACGTCGAGTCTGACTCAAGTCTTACAAATATAGAAGTGCTTAATATTTTATCAATATCAGTAGGTACTAAACGTAGTGGGGAACATACTTGAATAATATTTAACTAATATTTCCTTTAAAATTTTAATAGATCGTAAAACTAGCCAGTCTATAATTGGGGCGGCCGAGTTTATTTGCCTCTATTAATTAAAAGACAGGAAATGTAGATGTATTAACCCACCCATTTAACGTTAAGACTATGAACTCCTTCAACTACATAATATTCATTCTTAACATCTTCCTGTACAGTAGTACAATAGTCAGTATTCTCATTTTATTCAGGTTTAATTTTGTGAATAACAGTGTTCAGTCTGTGACTAATTTCTACGTAATTTTGTACTTAAAAATATGAAGTCACAGTCTTAAATAATCGTGATGTAATTCTTAGATAAAACAAAATTAATATTCAAATAATAATTTATTAATAAATAAGAAATATAAATATGGACAACGAAAACGACAATATGCGCACTACCTACCTCTTTCAGTAAGCGCTTATCACAGTTGAGAAATAAAATTACCAAAACACTTTTATACAAACTATTTTAATGACATATCCAAGTTGTGTCTAATTAAAAGATAAGTCGTTAATTTATATTGGGGGTCTATTAACTAAAACAATTTGATTTCTTAATGGCAACTGTAGAGTGCACATGAAACGCAATTAAAGTTTAAACAATAAGAAAGGTCACTAGTACTTGGTGTCAGGGGACACGCCCACGGCTATTTTCGATTTTCATACACGATAAATGCCAAGGTTATTTTTGGAAGGGTGTACTTGTGTTTTGATAAATATATGCAAAGGGCACGGTTGATATTTGAAATAGAGTTCAGGGCTGTCTCGCCCGAACTGCCTGAAGACGATGTCGAGGATTTCTTATCCGTAATCATGGAAGGCAACCTTTTGTATTTCGTTGATCTTATCGTTTAATCTGCCGCTTTGTTCAGAAACAATGATCTGAACTGGGACGCTTTTGATATGCAAGATTATCTTAAACCAAGATCACGGATAACGTTAGTACACGGACTTATCAAGATGTTAATCCCGTGTAATCATTAAACTTTTCTATTTGTTCATTCTTGCCTTGCAATTATTCGCTACCGTCACAAACGTAGGATGTTAAAAATGAAACGAAAATAGATTAATGTTTTAACATATTCTAAACAATATTGTTTAACAGCAGGCCGGTTTGTCGATCAATCAATAGTGTAGTGATCGGCCCAATGTGGAACACAATAGCAGGCCTCGCTGCCCCGGAGCGGCGAGCGACTGGCTTGTAGTCCGTGATATATTGTTCGGCATCAACATAGCGGGCGAACATGTGGACTATCTCATAGCGATAGCTGTTCCGATGGACGCACACAGCCATTGTTTGCCGAATACGCTTTGTTAGTTTCATCTTTATTTTAGACGCGAACTGAGCCAAATTATTCCGGTACAAAAAATCTCGTTGTTCGCTTACAACTTACACAGCAAGATTTTCATAAAATTAAATGTCTATTGTTACACTAAAGAGTTTACGTTTTGCGTAACCGTTTTCCTATTTTACTAGAAACACATAACTTGAAAGTAATAACATAGAACATTCCATTTACATTGTTTATTATTGTGCTATGGAAATGCTTCAGATTTCACAGCGCACTAAATGTATGTATAATGATTTTTTTTATGTATACAGAAGCGATGGCCACTAATAGGATTATAATATGAGCAATGCCCAAGGCGGGATTTAGTCATGGTGTATTCAGACCAAATCTGAAGATAAATATTGTCGTAAGTAATGAGACAAGCATAACAAATACGGAGGTAGTTAGAATCTCTTTGTCACGATTTAAATATTAAATAGAAAAATGGCTAGCGGATTAAGTTCTCAATAAAAATGTACAATACACGAAACTCAAACACTGCTATCAACGGCGTGTGTATAAGACGAACAAATAAGCTAACGTGCGGGTGCTCAGTATGCAAATTGTAAAACAACAAAGCATACAAAGTACTGTACACAAACTTCAAACAATTGTACAGCAATAAAATTCACAAATTGGGAACTTTACATCACTCAGACACATGCTTTCAAAATTGCCGCCTCTGCCTTGCCCATAAAGTGCTTTTTAGAACAACAATAATGGTGTTTTACAATTAAGTATAACATAATAGACAGCGCAAATCAATCCAATTACTGGATGGTAGAAGCACGAGCACGGCGCACGCGCACTGCATTAATTTTATGGTTGTGAGAGAAATTTGGAATAATTGCCCTTTCATTACGATTGCCAGTTAGGTAAACACGACTGCATGAGCTATAAAGTAGCTCATTTAAAACTATGACAGGCAACTCAACACCGTTCTAGTTTTGGGTTAGCAGGCATACTGATGTTAATATTTTCTCAGGAATTACTCTGGTTTCATTTACAAACACATTTTATTCAGAAAATTCTCACAAAGAATTGTTGGGCTAAGAAATTCGATCTCGCGAGAAATTAGCAGCACACACTATGCAAACCGGTCTTTCAAAATTAAAAACAAAAGTTGTAAATAATGAAGTATCGCATCATTCCATGTGCATCCTACAACTAGGGCACGACTTACAATTGACTTACATAGATTGATTTATACGTTTATAGTTAACGGAACTCGCGGAGTAACGATTATCATGTTTTCACAAAAGAGTTTGTCGGAGCATTTAGCATGGTTAATCAAATAAACGCGATTTAAACGTATCTTGATTCATTTGCACCTCGCCGTGTTTGGAAAGCTTTATAGGATACAAGTACATGAAAGTCTGCCAGATGTTCCACTGCCGATACTTTTCAATTAAAACAATTGCCCTTAACTACTAGTTTTGGAGTACTACACACGAGTTTCACAACAATTTACTTCAATGAGAAAATTGCTTGTATCTGTGATCACTAATAAAAACAATTATTTTACGTTTCAGATGCCAGAGTTGCGAGCGCGATGACGCGGGACACGTACGAGATGAAGCCGAACCGGCTGTCGCGGGGCAGTTCCCTCTTCGGTGCGGACCCTCAAGTGCAGTTGAGGACGGCTCTGTTAGCAAACGATTTTGCAACTTTTAAAAAACTCGTCAGCTACGGTACAGTGGATCTTGAGCACGTGTATCAATACCCAGATTACAAGACATGTCTGGAGATAGCAGTTTCCGAACCGAACAAACAAGATTTTGTCAAGCTTTTACTGCAACATGAAGTGGAAGTGAATAAAGTGAATGAAACACACGCTATGGCTCCTATACATTTTGCAGTGGAAAATGGAAATATCGAAGCATTACGGCTGCTGCTGGAGGATGACAGGATCGACGTGAACATCAAGAGCAAAGGTAACACGGCTTTATTGATGGCCATCAAGCATATCGAGGACCTTGATGATGACCGGGAACGTGACTTGGCTATCTATGAAGACATGGTTGAGCTGCTGCTAAAAGCAGGCTGCAATGCTAATAGTCCCGATTCTAAGGGCGTAACTCCGGTACATTCTGCTGCCAAACAAGGTCTGGAACGAGTTGTTACTTTGATATTAGACTATACTAAAGAACCTGTTCACTTAGACGCGTACAAAGATATAAGAGGAAGGACAGCACGATATTATCTCGAACAAGCATTTCCACATTTGTTGGCAAAGTTCGAAACTCAGGAAGTAGAACCAGAAGAAATTACTGTTGATAAATTATTTTCATATCTCAGCAGACACGAAGAAGATAATTTTATCCGCGATTTTACAAAACTAGTTAAGAAAAATGAGCATCGCACAGCGTTAGCAGCTAACAACGGGATGAGCACAATGTTACAGATGGCTACTGAAAAAGGAATGTACAGAGTAGTTGGGACTCTGCTCCTCTCTGGAGCTGATCCAAATGCTACATGTTCCGGTAACACCAGTAGGCCTATAGGAATAGCTTGTCAATATGGACACTACAAAATCCTGAAAATGTTTGTCGACAACGAATCAACTTTATTCGATCCAGTAAATGGAGAATCTCTTTTACAAATTACTGTAAAGGGCATGCGATCTTATTCCAATACACCGAAAGAAAACTTCAATGATTGTTTACAACTATTATTAAAACACCCTAAAGTCAACATAAACATTAACCATCCTGATATGAAAGATAACACAGCATTGCACTACGCCGCAAGGAACGGAGACCAAGATACAGTTTTAGAGTTATTAAGAAACGGAGCCTGTGTGGGATTGCGGAACAAATTCGATGAACCACCATTGGCAGATATTAACGCAAAAACATTGGAAACTTATTTGGATGAATGTGTCACGACCAATAGCCAACGGCCAAGTGACGACGATTATGAGATACATATGAAATATAGCTTTCTTGTTTATCCCAACAATTCGTTGGAAAATGAGCTCTGCAAGGTGCCTTTAATGGATAATTCCAGTACTCACGAAAAAGAATTAGATTCACTCTTAGCGCCCGAAACGGATGCTTTGCTATACATGACAAGGAACGAAGATCTGCGGCCATTACTAAAACATCCAGTCATCACTAGTTTCTTGTATCTGAAGTGGCAGAGGATAAGTTGTCTGTTCTACGCCAATATAACATTTTACTCACTTTTGTGGTTGTGCTTGATCCTGTACATAATGTTGGGATACGGGGTAGAGAAGAAGCAATCGAAGTCAATAGAAGCGCTGAATGTGATTACTCATGTCGGAGCCATCATTGGCTTGATCCTCTTAATATTCCGAGAGCTGTTCCAGTTACTTGTAGCGCCGACACGGTACTTGCAAAGTTTGGAGAATTGGATGGAAATAGTATTGATATTTGTGACCGCACTTGTAGTAGGGAACGACTCAGCGGCAGAGTCTACTAAACAACAATTGTCCTCAGTGGCTATCTTACTGTCATCCGCTGAATTAGTTTTACTAATTGGTCAGTTCCCTACTCTATCAACTAATATTGTTATGTTGAAAACAGTCTCATGGAATTTCTTCAAATTTCTGCTCTGGTATTGTATCTTGATAATAGCATTTGCTTTAAGCTTTTACACATTATTCCGACATGAACAGGAAGACGAAGATCAGAAAGCACCGGATCCAAACAATACAGGAAAAGAGGAGGAGGAAGAAGAGGACTTCTTCGAAGATCCAGGCAGGTCACTATTTAAGACGATAGTCATGTTAACGGGAGAATTTGACGCCGGATCTATTAAATTCAGTACATTCCCAGTGACGAGTCATTTTATATTTATTGTATTCGTGTTCATGATTCCAATTGTATTATTTAATTTACTCAACGGTTTAGCTGTAAGCGATACTCAAGAAATCAGAGCTGATGCAGAACTAGTGGGGCACATTTCTCGAGTTAAACTAATATCGTACTTTGAGAGCGTGCTCATTGGCAGTGCTAAGTCCTATGGCAAGCCCTGTACGTGCTGGTCGTGGATGCCGGCCAGTTTCGAAAGTTTAAACATTATAAAGCCGAAAATGTTTTGCATGAAACCTTTCGCTAAACGAATAAGTTTATTCCCGCATTTTTTGCCGAAATATAGGATAATTGTGAAACCAAACCAGGACAACAAGATCGAGATACCTCACGCTGAACCTCTCAAGTACGGAGATGATTATGAAGACATTGAAGGCGGCGCGGGAGGTTGTTGCTTCGAACGCTGCCAGAACTACAGACTGGATCGGAGGATCGTGAAGAATGCAAAACTGGTTGTGAGTAAGAAAACGCACATTACCGAATTTGACGAAATTAAAAATCAGCTGTCGAAATATGAACGCAAAATAGATGATCTTGAAATTACTATGAAGAAGGTTTTACAGGCTTTGAATTCTAATCAAAAGTAGTGTTGTTACTAAGCGACGTATTTTTTATTTCTTTGATAATATTATTAATGCTTTTATAACAAATATTTATAAGACGTCTGGACGATTACATAATATTTTAACGTTTTAATTTTGGATCCTTTTATTTCTATACTTACAACACCCATGAGAAACTTTATTAATCGTTGCCCCATACTAGATTAGGTTATAGAAGCCATTGAGAGGCATTCCAAGACGATTTACAATTTCATCGACGACCTTGCGCTACTGGAGGCCCAACAACAAAGCCTTGAACAAAGACGGAAAGTTGCAAGCCATTTTCGGTATTTGATCGGATATAGTTCGGAGTGTGTTCAGAGGAGCTGCATAACTTAAGTCCCCCTTGTTCCTTTCCACCATCGTACCACCAGCTATTAGCAAAAGGTCACCGATTCATGGTGGATATTGCAACCTCACACACAAAGTGTTTCCTTTGGGATGGATTTTTGCCGTAGTTTGTGTTCCCCAAAATGTAAACTTTGGTGTCTTCAAGGCCCGAGTGAATAGTTTGATTATACATAGTTAGGCATGCTCTATTGTACATCGCATCATTGCTTACCACCATACAAGATAGCGGGCAAGTGACAGTCTTTTTCCTGTGTCGAGGATGCATTTACAAACACAATGTTTCAAATACACATCACACCCAGACCCGAAACAACAATTTGTGGATCAGTCACAGCGACAACAGTGCAGTATCTTTTGGTAAATTTATGGACGTTTTGTACTGTAATTCTAATTAAATAAGTAAACATTGAGAACTTACCTCATGACGAGTAAGTTGATAATTTTGACGAGCTCGTCGGCCACGAGGTAGCAGGGGGCCCGCAGGCGCCACAGTACGGGCCGCAGACGCGGGGCCCACTCCCAGCCCCGCAGGAGACCGGCCCCGGCCTGCTGGGCCCCGCCCCCCGGCTGCGGGGCCCCGCCCCCCGGCTGCAGGGCGCCGCCCCCCGCCTGCAGCAGCTGCACGAGCTGCAGCAGTAGGCCGTGCACGTAGTTCATCTTCGTGTGCTCCTGCTGCACCAGCTCTAGAGTCGACTCTATGTGCGGGATGTACCTGATACATGGGTTATTGTTGTTAACTACACCTCTTTTTCTTAAAGGGCCAGTAGGGGTGCACATGCAATTTAACACATTTTTTTAATTAATATTTTGTGAAGCCGTGGTAAAGTGGTCCAGTTGTGCAGTCTCTCTGTGCCCTTAAGGCTTAGGTCACTGTATCTCCTGCATAAAATACACTGAACTTTCATGAACATATCTTCTGATCTGTTTAGTCGCGGTGTTTGTAGTTGTATCTACATTGATCCTGGTGTACAGTAGAATTATTTTTTATGGGATAATTAGGCAAACGAGCAGGCGGATTACTTGATGGTAAGCAATAGGATTTAAGAGTGCGTTGCCGACCTTTTGGGGATAACCGTTGCGGATATTTAAGGATTGAGAAGGGATAGGGGAGGGGGAGGGACTGGGCCTCCGGTAACCTCACTTACACGGCGAAACACAAAGCTGTAGTCGTTTCACGCCGGTTTTATTTGAGGCCGTGGTATCACTCCGGTTGAGCCGAATTTGACTCTTTGTGGAGTGTGTAGCAAACAGTCTATTGCTAAGGTCTTTGCGGATTAGAAAAAAGGGGGGAAGATTTAATTTTGGTCTTCAGTGACCTGATGCTACACCTTACATTGTGGGTGGTTAGGGATAAGCGATAGAGGATGTGAATGGGGGCGAAGGATTGGGTAACCCCAAATTTAAATACGAAGTAAGAGTTGGAGTTGATGCATTCTTTGGCAGGCAGAGTAACGGAGTATAGTTGGTAAAATTAAAGGGTAAATAGCAATGAAATACAAAGTGTATGGAGTACTCACAGCGCGGGAGACACGAGAGGCACGAGTGCCCGCGCGGCCAGGTGGCGCGTCTTCAGCACGGCGCTGCCTGCGCACGCGCATACTCGCGGGATGAACGCCGACAGCTACACAACATACTTACTTAGCTCTACTCATATTGTACTACCCATACTATGATAGTATGTATACACCTTTGATACTCTTTCACGTAAAAACTATGAAAGAGCTAAACTATCTTGGTACCAAATTTTATTTATCATCGTTATCATCATCATCATCATCATTAGGCCATAAGTGCCCACTGCTGAGCAAACGCTTCATCTCACACGGAGAAGGTTTGAACATTAACTTCAATTTTAGCCTTATTAAGTACTAGAAATAACAAGTCCAGATTTCTTCACCGTATGTCAGTGATGTTTGAATAGTCGTTGAAAATAGATATGACTCGGAAAAAAGTCATATTGCTATTTGTAAAGGTTCACACTCGCACCCATATAAATAAAAAGTGGGCACCTTTATCTTCAGGCTACCATGACTTCTAATTTTATTCAGATAATAAAATTTGGAACACAGATAGATAGTCTAGAATAATATACAGGCTGCTTTTTATCCTGGAACTGTGGATAAAACTACTGAGAGAAACAAGTATAAAATATCACTTAATCTAATTCCTAAAGTTAAGTTGGTTAAGACTCAAACAGATTGGACTTTATGTATGTAACCATAGGAATTGTGTGAGACAAGTGACATAGCACGTATATACTAGTGTAGACTAATTACCTTGAGATTGGAGACGGTGCCCTCGAGCGAGGAGGGGTAGAGGCGAGCCAGCAGTAGCAGTATGGGGTACAGGGAGGGACGCAGCACTGCGCTGTCCGCTTCCATAGATACCTCCTGCAGCTTCTCCTGCAAACGTACGGAGTTATACGTGGCATTAGGATGTTTGAAATGTTGTAAATGATATATGCCTAACAATTTTTTTATATGACTTTGCTAGTTACGCCACATATGAATGAAATCAATGAATCATATCTAGTCTATTTGAGACACTATTAAGAGATTAGTCTGTCGTTGTTCACCGCCTTCCAAATGTATAACACATTGGCTGGGTATCAAATTGAAAGAAAAAAGAAAGAAAAACATTTATTCGACATAATTGCTGTGTAACGGGTACCAGACCTGATTCCCGCACGAAAACTCTTAGTGTGATCCACAAATTATTCTTCAGAGTCTGGTGTGATGTCTATGTCAAACACGACACCGGAGAAAAATCCAAGTGTAGAGTAACATACATTAGGTAGTTTCACGAGAATAATATTGTTGTCATATATATGTAGATAACATAACGGTGGGTATGAGCGTGGTACATACCAGCATGAAGTCGTAGACCTTTGGGTAGCGCAGGAAGAAGATCCTCCCGGTCATCGTGGTCCGCTGCACTCCAAACACGCGCTGCACCAGTGCGCTAAGTAACAGAGTCGACGAGTTGCGCTCCTGCGTACAGACAGACAGACAATATCATTTACTCGTATGAGCAATTAAAGCTGGTATCAGCCGTATGATCACGGTAAAATTCTATCCTCGATTCTTTTTAGAACCAACTTAGAAATTGAACTTTTGACAGAGACCGGCTATACCGCTTTCTACTTGAAGCTTTTAAACCACAATCTCCAATCAAAGAGAGACTATGATTTGTTGGTGAATTTCTGTACTAATAATAATGGTCCCAATACCCTATCCTGTGCCACACTAAATTTCTTACGTATGCAGGGAATGTAGCCAGACTATGTATTTTTCTTATTATATGCCGATATCGCCTTAAATTTGTTGGTGGATTGCTGTACTAATAATAATGGTCTTGGATTGCTATACAAATAACAATGGTTCCAATACACTACCCTGTGCCACACCTAATTTCTTATCTATGCAGGGAATGTAACCAGACTATGCATTTTTCTTATTCTATGTCGATATCGCCTATAATTTGTTGGTGGATTTCTTTACAAATAATAATGGTCCTAATAAACTACCCTGTGCCACACCAAATTTCTTAACTATGTAGGGAATGTAGCCAGACTATGTGTTTTACTTATTCTATGTCGATAGCGACTATAATTTGTTGGTAGATTGCTATACAAACAATAACGGTCCCAAAACACTACCCTGTGCCACGCCAAATTTCTTATCTATGTAGGGAGTGTAGCCAGACTATGTGTTTTACTTATTCTATGTCGATACCGACTTTAATTTGTTGGTGGATTGCTGTACAAGTAATAATGGTCTCAATACACTACCCTGTGTCACACCAAATACCTTATCTGTGTAGGGAATGTAGCCAGACTATGTATTTTTCTTATTATATATATCTATATCGCCTATAATTTGTTGGTGGATTGCTGTACAAACAATAATCCCAATACACTACCTTGTGCTACACCGAATTTCTTATCTATGTATAGTCAGAATAAATATTTTACATTTTAGATAGGGACTGTAATGGTTTTGGTGGATTGTGAGGAGCTTTCTTTTATGACGTCATGTGATACGCATATAGTAAGATGATCTTTGCAGAGTTGACTGTTCCTGATGGTAAGCAATCGTTGCTTGTTATAGTCAACAATACTATCAAAAGAGCTGGAGTGCATAACTGGTTTTTCATGGGTTGTTGAGTAATTGAGGATTGGGGATTTGGAGACTGATAGAGGGGGATAGAAGGATCGGTCGCTGGTAACTTTGCATTGAATAAAGACTATATTTTTTGAGGCCGTGGTATGAAACCGATTGAGCTTGGCAGATATTCGTGCTCTTTCTTCTCTTCAAATAATATCTTCTGATTTGTTTTGTTGCGGGATCCAAGACAGGCATTAATGTCCCTGGGACACGTCGGACTTCAGAGTTCCGGTGTTTTCATGGTTGTATCTCCTAGAGATCTTGGGTTACAGGACCTGCGGCCGGCTTGTCCTATTCAAGACATCGAGCTGAAGCTGGTTTACCTATGTTTAGGAGGTGTATATAAAGAGTATGGTATAGTTACGGGCCAGCATCGCGCGTCGAAGGCCCGCAGCGCGGCGCAGAGCGCGGCCTGTAGATGCGGCGCCCCGCGCTGCGCCAGCGCCGCGTGTCGCACCAGCGCGCGCACCACGTGCAGCGCGTGCGTGCGGCCCGCGCTGCCTGCCTCACTGTCTGCCCCGCCCCCCACCATGCGGACCAGCTCCGACATCACATACTGGAAGCACAGCCCGTTGTCCTGCACCGCTACTTCAGTCGTCACTAGAGCCTGTACAAACGAAAACCTCTATAAGGCACTTTTTAATTCTTGCGTTACTAAACAAATAACACATTGGTGAAAACACAGCGCATCGTGCAGCCATTGTATGTTACAACGGCGAACCGCGTCATAGACATATGAGCAACATACGCCACATCTCGTCGTAAATAAGACCGAACTGGCTGACATTGCAGTCGCAACTACAAACAAAAACCACATTAACCTGTATAATAAAGGGTATCCCCGCACTCCTGCGCGTGGGTGCAGTGGTTGCCCCCGCGATGATCTGCATGAGGCGCTGCAGCCAGGCGCGAGGCAGCCCATGCAATTCCGCGCTACGACACCGCCATAGTCTGCAAACGAACGTACTCACTGATAACACGCCTTCATCATCATAACTCCATAATGGCAAAAATACCAATTATGTATATGTATTTCATTCAACTTAATTAAACAATTCCTAGTGAATTACCAGATAATAATCGCAAATCACTACACAACTGCATAGAGCCGTATTTATCAAACCAGCATGGGTGAGGCCTACCGAGCAATTAGTGCGAGCAACGTGTTATGTGGCGTCGCGCATGTGGCGCATGATGGAAGCGCAACTTTTGCGCATAACGGCCACCTGTCTCAGCCACCGCCAATATCACGGACGCTGCAGTATCACGGCAGCCTCGTCAACACCCGGACACGTTATTGTAATAAACACTCACATCGCTGTATGCCCGCTGTGTATAATATGTGCTTGGCAAACCCATTGGCTGCAGGTGTAAAATAGTTCGTCGTTCGTTCACCTACTAGTAAACATCTGTGCTTGTTTGTACCGTAAAATAAATCGTATTTCCTAAATAAAGTTATAGTTATTGTATCGAGTGCGCAATATACGTTTAGCTTGTGAACTGAGCTTTCTAGTGGTGAAATCAGATTTAAAATTCGTTCTGAGGCATCTGAGATATAAGTGTTTTAATTTAAAAAAGTTTTTGTTCGTCCGTTAAACCCTGACCTACGACAACCCGTGGTGCGCTCGCTGTGACTTGCATCGGTGCGGCGCGAGCAGTGCGTCGGTGCTGTGTGAGCGGTGTATCCCATACTGCGCCCGAGTCGCCCCGCCCTCACGATGACGTCGCGTGTGGTTAGCTGTGGTGGATGCCGCGGTGTTATTACGGAGGACAGCGCTTATATGCGGTGCGCTAAATGTAAGCAATATTATGATTTCCTTTGTGCAAATTTTACTGCTGAGATATTTGCTACCTTGTCATTGGAGTTCAAGAAAGCTTGGACGTGTTTTGAATGCCGCAGTAAAATGCCAAAAAATGATAATTCGAAGACGCCTGTACGCCAGCACTTAAGCCATGATATGAGCATCGTTAGTGACTGCCATGAGGTGTCGATTAGTACTCCTGATAATATCACGGTTCGTACTGGAAAGTCCTATGCGCAATCGGCCGGGCAGCGTGTCTATAATAGCCCGCAAAACAACGTCGCTGCTTCTATAATGCAGGGAATTAAAGAAATGCAGGATGAGTTTGAGACACGCTTAACCAACAATATCTGTCGACTACTAACGGAACAATTTAATTGTTTTAAAGCCGATGTCCTTAGCCGAATAAGTCAGTTAAGTCGCCAAGTTGATGACCTAAAAATACAAATTGATTCCACTTGTAGAAGTGGCCGCGTTACAATGCAGGGTACTGCTGCGGGGAATCCGGTACAAAATTCACCAAACTTCAGCCTCAAAACCCAAGCTAGCCCTATGAAGAAGAGCAAATCTACTAAGTCTTCATCACGGCCTCTCACGATCCCACCTCCTGCTCCAACTTCCGGGGTTGAGTATGTGAACGATAAGGTGTCAGATAGACATAATTATCAAACTAGACATAGAGATAGATTATGTCAGCCATTATTTAGATTGGCAATGGTACATAAGTCGTTCATGGGATTCTGTGTTAAATGTTATAACAAAATCCCAGGCGAAATACAACAATTTAATGAAAGAAATTTTAAATTATGTGTAAAGAAAACTTTATGTAGAAAAGCATACTACACACTGAATGATTACATTGTAGATAAAGATGCTTGGAGACATGCTGGTCCTGCTCCACAGGATAGCAAATCTACACCAAAATAAATAACGTTCCAGTGGATTTTGCTTGAACGGGACTTCTTCATTTTAGTGAAATTGCATTACATTGTATAACTATAACTTGATAAATTTGTAAATATGAGTGCCCTGTAACCTATTATAATTGGTTAGACTAGCAGAATGTCGGTCCTTATAACAGCTTGGAGTTGTCATGCTCACTGAAAGGTCACACTGGCGGTGGCATGGGCGCTGGATCGCTTAATTCCCTATAATATGGTTGAGTTGGGCGATGCTGGTGTACGTGTCATGCTCGTGAACGAGCGCCGTCAGTTGGGACTGGTCAGCTCCGGACTGTCTATTGTGCTTAAGGTTACTTTATTTTTATATTTGATTGAATAATAGTGTTACACTGTTCTCACATAATTGAACCAACTGTTTGTAAAAAGAATCTGTATGTGAAACTGATTTAAAAAGAGTAACCATGGAGTTTCTTGCTCGTTCTTCTCCATCGGAATCTACACTTTGGAACGAGCAAATAGCTTCACTAAGAGGACTGACCGACAGACTGACAATATAGCTTCAAAATTTTTGTTTGACGTTCAAAAGTGCCTGTAAAGGTCTAATTGGAATAAATGATTTTTGACTTTTGACTTTTTTTGAGAACCAGGACGCTTATGTTAAGAGTCAGGATGTAGTAAACAATCAGAGTGAGTGGGTTGAGGTGAGGCGGAAGCAGGCTCGCGCTTCGCTGCCCGGTGTGGTCCGCGGTACGGCAGCGCCAGGTACTACTTCGCTGCGTGCGTCCGAGAGGTGGAGGTACCTGCACCTTTACTATGTGCAAGAAGGCATTACAGTGGAGCAGGTGCATGCCCACCTTCACTCAATTTGCGGAAGCGACGTTTGCACTGTGGAGGAATTGAAGCCCCGGGGGCGATATTCTTCGTTTAAATTGGGAGTCCCATCAAAGTGCGCTAATAGTGTTATGGCACCAAGTAACTGGGCCGAAGATATTTGTGTGAAACCATGGCGACAGAACTTTCGAGCCAAAAGTGCAGCGGAAAATAGTACGTAATCTTGTTATTTACTACCAAAATGTTCGGGGGTTGCGTAGTAAAACCAACATGTTTAAAAAAATATGACGCAATGTAACTTTGACTTTGTAGCTCTGACTGAAACTTTTTTAAATATGTAATGGTGAACTGTTTTCATCCAATTATGTAGTAATACGCAAAGACCGTTCGGGTGACTCCGGATGGCGGGAGTGCTCTTGGCTGTGCAAGACTGCTTCTCAGTGCGTGAAATAACGAACATTGACGGCCTCACGCCTGACATGGAATTGATATTTGCTATCATTGGTGTGAAACATCGTAAACTTCTTTGTTGTGTGGTTTATTTACCGCCCAATTATAATGACGACCAATATCTTCGTGTATTGGCCTGTATAGAAAATGCTGTTTTGTCATATGCTAGCATCAATGTTTTAATCTTAGGTGATTTTAATTTAAACTCTTGTACCGTTAATATTAAGACAAATTTTAATTCATTTTGTGACTTCTGTGGACTGCAACAGTTTAATAATGTGTGTAACAATCGAGGTGGCATGTTGGATCTCGTCTTGAGCGATCTTAGCCTCGATCAGATGTTAGTGTCCGTAGGACCCGAACCTCTAGTGCCTATTGATGAGTATCACCCTCCTATTGAGGTGTTAATCAGATTTCCTTGTGGTAGTGTGGCTACACCAGTACCGTCTTCATCACCCGCCCCGCTCTCGACGTCCAGTCGATACTCATGGAACTGGCGCAAAGCTGACCTACAGGGCCTGTACACGGCTTTACAACACTTAGATTGGTCTGAGCTATTTTTATTTAATGACATTGAAATTGCAATTGACATTTTCTATACTAATCTTTATAATTGTATTAGTCTTTATGTCCCAGTTAAAACCGATCGCATGAAAGATTCTAAGTATGTGTATCCGAAATGGTATACCCCTGATATAATACACAATATACGTCAAAAGTATTATCATTTAAAACGATATAAGGCTGACGGTAATACGTTCAATAAAGAATTATTTAAATATTATAGATGGCACGTAAAAAATCTCATTGACAATGCATATAAGCAGCACTTACATTTGACAGAACGGAATATTGCTGACGATCCGGCTAAGTTCTGGGAATTTATCAAAGACAGGAAAAATTACAGGCGCTTTGTGGAGTTTTATTCGTTTAGGAATGAAGAAGTGACGGGCCAGGCTGCAGCTGATGCGTTTGCGGAATATTTTAGTTCGGTGTTCCAAAGCGAGGTGCCATTGTTGAACCCACTCGACGCGTCACTAGCAGCTAGCATTCATGCTGATGCTACTTTGATTTCTGTCAGTGAATTTAGCGAGTCTGATCTTAGGTTGGCAGCAAGACGATTGAAACCAAAATCATCTGGAGGTCCCGATGGCATTCCGGTCTTTCTTGCGAAGGATTGCATATCCATTCTTAAAGACCCTATCCTCTATCTTTTCAACTTGTCGCTTGCTCGCTCGACTTATTCAGAGTTCTGGAAATTATCTAGAGTAACTCCTGTGCCCGAGGGCGACGCAGATAATGATGTCGCATCGTTTAGGCCCATTGCAGTATTGTCAGTCTTTGCAAAATTGTTTGAGATCATGTTGTGTTCACGCATCAATAAACAAGTTAAAAATCTCCTACATGATAGCCAGCACGGATTTAGAAACGCTCGTTCAACGACTACAAATCTTGTGGCTCATGTAGACTACATTTATGCTGAAATGGATGCGGGTAGGCAGGTAGATACCGCCTACTTTGATTTTAAAAAGGCTTTTGACTTAGTCGACAATGATATCCTGTTGTATAAGTTGGCAGTATTGGGCTTTTCTCCTGGGTTGCTTAAGTTTTTCTCAAGTTACCTCCGTAATCGGCGCCAATTCGTTAAGGTTAGAAATTATGAATCAAATGAATATTACACTCGATCCGGAGTAAGTCAAGGTAGCAGCTTAGGGCCCCTACTTTTCCTAATTTTTGTCAATGACCTTCCTCAGCGAGTCAGTCTTTCCCAATGTCTGCTGTTTGCTGATGATCTCAAGCTTAGTCTGGGTGTCGAGACATCGGCAGATTGCGAAGCTCTGCAAAGAGACATGAGACTGGAGCGGCGAAAACCGTCTTCCATTTAATATCGAGAAATGCAATACGATCTCTTTCTCACGTAAGCGCCAGCTGATCAATGCAGCTTACACTTTATCCGACGCTGCCCTTCAAAGGGTATCAGATATTCGTGACTTGGGACTTCAATTGGACTCTAGACTTAACTTTCATGACCATGTGACGGCAATATGCAAAAAGGCAAACAAAATGCTTGGATTTGTCATGCGTACATCATCTGAGTTTAATAATTTAGGAGTTGCAACTGTTCTCTATAATGCCTACATACGTAGCAAACTTGACTATGGTGGCATAGTCTGGGCTCCATCTGAGGAAAAATACAATATTATGCTTGAAAGGGTACAACGCAAATTCGCTCGTTGGTTATATAAGAAAAGGTATGGCTACTATCCTTACTTATACCCTTCCTCTTTTGTAGCTGGTATGGTGGATCTGGAGACCCTCAAGTTCAGGAGGGTGGTGCAAACAATATTGCACTATCTGTCAATAGTGCACCATAAAGTAGACAACCCTATAGTACTAGGCATGGTGAGGTTACTTGTTCCCAAACGACTGGCATGGAATGAGCAAGGGACAGTTGCGCCGAGGCGTCGGCCTCGCCTTTTGTGGTGGCCTCAAACGCGCACCAACTATGCGTTGCATGCACCGACTGTTCGGGCACTGGGCCTTATTCAGGATATGATCGCTCGTGACAATGATATCGACATATTTGCTGACCACTTTAAAATGCTATGTGCTAAAACCGAAACATTTGTCAATAATTATTTAATGTAATTTTATAATGATGTACTTTAGACCTGTGTGTGTGACTTCTACTATTGACATATTGACTGTTTTTATTTCTAGATTTTACTTTTGATATTTCGGACTAATTAATGATTTTGACATGTATTGTTTTTTCTTGTTTTAATAATTGATGTGCTTTATATTTTAAATAATTGGCTTGCTGGGGTTTTGGTGCTCACTGTGAGCCAGTAAGTGCATGTTTAAATAAATAAATAAAAGATGACAGCATGCTTTAAGAAGCGCAATAGATACTTAGTTCCCGTAAAACGTCAAACGTTCTCTTTGAAATATCCATACTGTCATTAAGGTCCTCGGTGTCCCAGTGGCCTAACCGAAATGCTAAAATTGCTCGACTTAAGTGACACCTGTACCACATAAAGCAAAATTCGGAACGTATCTGTATAGCTTGTTGTCCGACCTGACAATCATTATGACTCTATTCTAGAACAACTTCTAACTTGAACGGTCTTCGTTTTTGTGACATGTGACCGATGACTAACATTTCAGCTGGTTCATTCTACAATTATTTCAACAATGGATTTCTCTTGTGTAGTCAAAAGATGACCGTACTTTTCTTTTTTCGACGCGCGCACGCGCAACTAGGCTACTGATATTAGGACCGACGCGCATACGGCGCATAATGGTAGCGCATCGTTTGCGCATGATGGCCACCTGTATAACGAATGACTTTTAATGACATATCCATGATTATATCTTTCAATTTATTTCGTTGCGGGATCTAAGACAGTTGGAACGTCCTTGAGACGCACCGAACCTCATTGTCTAGAAGTTTTCGTGGTTGCATCTACTGTAAATCCTGGCTTATAGAATTTGCAGCAGTTTTTCAGGATTATGGTTGACTTGTCCTATAAAATATACGTAGACACATTAGAAAGAAGGTAGGTTTACCTGTCGAGTAGCATGGTGAACCCGACGTAGGCCTGCTCGAAGGCCCCGCGGTGCTGGGTGTCGCTGAGTAGCGCCGTGAAGTGCTCGCCGATGGCACGCAGCTGTGCCGCCGACAGGGAGCCCTCGCCCTCCTCGCCGCCCTCGCACTCCTCCCGGATGGTCAGCCGGCCTGATATCTCACCTAGTAGGAGCGACACCTGGTGGAGCCCACAAGCAAACGAGTAGAATGATCATCTGATTACTTGAAGCGACGATTAGATGGCTAGATTCATCGGGACTTAGGGACTGAGGGCGGTCGGGTAGTCTCGATCGCTCGTTTTACACTTTAAACCTAACAGCGGTCATACCACCCAATACATCGGAACTTAGGGACTTAGGGCACGATAATGTCGTCTGATTGCTGCTTAATCAATAAAATTGGCGTCGCTTATAGTCACTAGTTAGCATCAGGGAAAGACAAGGTTATTACCGGAATATGAATTATTAGAATTATTAACGTTTTGCCACCAGAGAAGGATTGACCCTCTGGTGACCTCAAACACATCACGCTGATAATATTTTCCAACATGATGAAATGACATGAAATTATACAAAGATATTTTTACGAATTTACAATATGATGTTGCAACAAGTTGTTGAATTACTGTACCTCTTTAACAGACCGCCAGGCACATAGGAGCACCATCTGCGCCGTCACCTGTCTACCGTCCTCCAGCGTCACGTTACTGCCAAATAATAATAACAATAACAATGTTGAAATCTATATTAATATATAAAAGGCAAGTTAAGTTAAAATTTAAATATAAAAAAATTAAAATATAAAAGGTAAGTTTATATGTTCGGGGTTATCTTTGGAGGCGCTGGTGGAAATTCCAAAATTCTTTCACTGATAGAAAGCTGAAATATTCCCGAGCGCTTTAGAATAAAAAACATACAGAACCTATCTGCTGGTGAAACCGCGGGGCAGTAGCTAATGAATAAATTAAAACTTTCCTTCTTTTCTTGTTTCTTACTTTTCAGTTCGTAAGAACCCAATTTAAGAAGCAATTTCTGCCAAGCCAATAATAAATCCAAAAAGAATAATACGGGGCATTCTACGTGAATGAAAGAAATTTAAAGTGGTGATGGAATTTGTTTATCTTCTTGCACATATTTTTACCTGGGGTAATCTGTTACCTCGGATCTTATATGTCTTTATTTAAATTGTTTTTAAACATGACATTTTAAATACACAATACACTTAGACCCGGAACACAAAAAAAAGTTTCTTTAGGGAATCGGACCGGCGAAATTTTGCAGTGTGACTAGTCACTGAGCCATTACGCCAATGTGCAACCACTATGGACAGACAGAACAAATAAGTGATCTAGATATGAATAAGTACAGCTTACCCAGAGTTTCCATGGTCCGTGATCTGTATCGTCATGTCCATGGGGAGATGTCCTTCAGGCGAGGAGTTGTTCACGACACACGCCACGGCCGCGTTCACCTCCATACACGTGTCTATTATCTGCGCTATTAGGGCCCTCCATCGCTCATCCCCGGATATCGACCTGGGTCATAAATTTATAATAGTGTTTTGTATTCATATTTTTATTGAAAGTTATAGAGATGAAGAAGAGGTTTTATAGTAAGAATGCTTGGTTGAACATTTGAGAAAGGAAATCAAGGGTTTTGAATGTAAGACTCAGCGTTTTTTTTTTGGAAAAGCCCGCCGCCTCCTCAATCATATTATGACATGGTTTATCTGGACTATGAGATGGTGTGTGTTGTTGCGGGATCAAAGACAGTCGTTGATGTATGATAACAAAACATGAAACCCTGAAGTCCGTCGTGTCCCAGGGGCATGACTGACTACCTTGGATCCCGCAACGAAATAAATCAGAAGACATGAGGAAAAGAAAACGCTTTCAAACTGAAAGTTATTGAAAAGGAGAAAGGGCGTGTCATATACTATCTTTACTTATATTACAAAGCTGAAGAGTTTGTTTGTTTGAATGCCTCCTCAATCCCTATCCCCAATCCCTCCTCAATCCCTAATTCCTAAAAGGTAGGCAACGCACTCGTAACTCTTCCGTTGCGGGTGTTCATGGGCGGCGCTGATTGCTTACCATCAGGTAATCCGTCTGCTCGTTTGCCGACTTATTACACAAAAAAAAATGCGCAAATCTCAGGAAGTACTGGTTCGAATTGAAAAAATCTTTTTGTGTTTAACAGACCATTTATCGAGGGAGGCTTCAGAAAACATCACGCTACGATCAGTAGAAACCGAGCAGCGGGTGAAACTGCGCGAGAGTAGCTAGTATCAATGTTAGTTAAATAATTTAAATGAAACAGTAGTTACAGTGGGTCGAGTTTGTGTAGTACGGCCCTGAGACAGTGCAAGACGCCGAACATGGGCGCGGCGGCGGCGCCCCGCAGGATGCTCCGCGAGCACTCCCGGCACTGCGCGCCGCACTCTCGGGCTAAGCGCTGCACCAAGCCCAGTAACACTACCTCCTCACTGCAACACAACACGCATTTCACATAACACCCTTCTTTATTAAGATGGAAAATCATCAATTGACTCCTTTCGGGGTTGCCCTGAGTTCAGACTGTTACTGACTGAACACCGCCTCGTTTTCACTCCAAGGTCTTGAGCGGGGTCGCGGTATATAGATGTATATGCACAAGCAACCTTAACTGAAACGACAGTTAGGTGATAGCTAGACTACGGTATATAGTTACATGCATATACATACGAAATTATAGTTGAGTGGTTCTTCAGAAATTGAAAGAAATACAGTAGCATTTGGTTTCAAAACAAAACGTTGACCCACACTAATGTTATTCCGGTGTCGTGGGTGTAACAACAATTTGTGGATTACACAAAGAATTGTTCCTTGCGGGAATCCATTAAATAGTGGAGAAATTCAGTATCAGTATCGCATCTATATGAAACCGGGGTCGTAAGTAATAATAAAAATAATAACAAAGTTTTTCATACAAAAGTTGCTTTATTTATTACCATTCAATAGTCCTTACTTTTGCTCATCCTGTACTATCCTCTCAGGCAATCGTGTCCTCAACAGTTCCAGTTTGTAGGCAGCCGACACGCAGTCTGTCGGCTTCAACGACGACGCTTGACGGATTATATCTTCTAAGTCTAAACTAATAGAGTAGTCTTTTCTCTGAAATTATTTTAGTACATTTTTCTTAGATTATATTAGATAATGAACTTACTACTTAGTACTGGCTAATGTAAAGCATTCAACTTTATGATTTACTTGTTTAAATTTATTGTATAAATACTTTATTAACAGCATTTCTACATGTAAAAATAGTCAATTTTAAATAAAATTCAATGAGGCCGGCATTTCCTACTATTCTACTGTACTGCCATGAGAAGAAATGCCGAAACAACCTCTAAGATCAATCTCTTATAAAGTCAAGGCTAATTTAATAATATGTGGCAGAATCGTGCAAGTTCACTCAGTAGTGTTTTTTGAGAACTTATTATACTAGTTTGAGTGGACCCGTTCTGAAGACAGGTAAACAAGTGTCAGTTTACAAACTGCTCAACAAGGATATTGACGAATTGCACGACGAACAATTACGACCAAAAGAACATTTGGGTAGGTCATACTAATACTCAAATTACCAACACATAAAATATATTTTTATATAAAGTCGTAAATTTTCAGTTGAATGGTTGACCCTTACTGGCCACTGTATTAACTTACATTAAACATGGTAATTAATGTAAAATATCGGATCACTTATCTAATCGCGTAACGTGTTAAAATTAATTAATAATGTCATAAAACAATGCGATAAAACATACGAACGCAATCGCAAAGAGAACATTGAGATCAATCTGTTTGTGTGAACCATGAGTTCTAGTGTAAATAACCCTTCGAAAACTCAAAATTAAGGAATAAACTAAAGTGAATTACAGTAATCAGAAGTGTAGTAAAGGACTGATAAGATTATAGTTCCAAGTACCAAGAAACATGGATTAACCATCGCTTTACAATAATATAACCATAGCAATCTAAAGGAAGAAGAATCTAGAAGAATTGAGTATGGCGGGCGGCGAGAACCCGGAAGTAATACAATATTTAGCAGCGGCCGCGTGTATAGTATGCGCGGGGGCGGCCGTACTCGTGTACGGCACGCACCACGCTTGGAGGCAGACGCACTACCTGCACGCCCTGCAGGCACTGCCCCGCTGTGGGGGACAACTCTGTCTACTCCTCATGTACATCAGCACTGACGAAGTCATTCAACAATGGCTCGTAGCCTTCTACTTAGCACTAGTCCTAACTACAGTATGGGGGACTTTCCACTCAGTTCTACTCGGCTACGTCCACATGGTCCTCAACAGCCCAACACTAACCAACGAAGAATCTCTTGTTGTAAAATCATGGATGCACATGACGGTCATCTCTTGTGCATTGTTATACAGCGTCCAATATGTACTGTATTTAAATATTACTGATATTGAAACTGTTATCGCTATTACGTTACTTGGCATTGCAACGGGAAACTTAGTGATTCTTACTAGAACCTTCAAAGAAACTTTTGTATGTCGTGTCAACATATTGTTATTATACTTTGTGAACTTTTTGGGTATTCTGTGTGATTTTTTGTTGATATTGTACAGCGGGTTGTGTATCTACAGTTTGCATATACAAGTGGTGTCTGACCTACTGTCTATATTGTTTACCGGGGCCCTATTATTGCAATCTGTTCTCGTGATGTACTGTAGCAACCAGCTCGACTGGAAGAAATGTACGCCGCGCACCGAAGAGATACAAATATAATTTGTTTTTATAAAATAAAAAGTTTTCGATAATAACACCGTTTTTATTTATTGTAATAGTGTTCGTGGTTTGTGGCTAAATGAATTGGCCATTCGTCAGATCTGCTCGTTAGCCGTCCATAACAAATCAAATATACTAGTTAGTATAACATACCCTGAGCAGATCCGGTGGACAGCTGGCCAGTACCTCGAGGGCGAAGCCTTTATTGTTCTCATAACTATCCTCCAAATGTAGCAGGAGTTTCTCCACATACTCCGGCTCCCAGCTCCTGCAAAATGTACGTTAATCTAATTAGCTTTAAGGTCATTATCATTAATTTATTGCATTTCATGTTGTTTACAAGTTGTTACATTATAATATAGTTTGGAACAAACAAAGGTCTAATTTAGCTTAAGATCTATTGCTCAATAGAATAATTTTAATCAAGTTAATCACGCAAATACGCTTGTTAGGCTAATGAGACCTCGAGTATCAGGGATCCAGCCAATAGACCACCACAGACGGGGCGCTATAGGGCTGATGTTTACGTTGTTGTGTATGTGGGATTGCGGGGCTATGCGAAGGCCAGGAGAAGGAGGAGGAGGGAGGGAGGGGGGAGAAATGTCGTACAGGGTAAGGCGAGAGAAGTCCATTGATGATTTTCCTCTTATATAATTTTATCAATGTATTTTATCAAGTCCACCATTTCAAATACGCTTCTTAGACTAAGTAAAAGGACCTTAGGTCGCAGTGGCGCTATCTCATTAACGCAAAATAAAAATTAATGGTGTAGAAAACATGGCATGTAACGATAATTACTTGTGATATCCCTCCAAGGTGATCTGCTCGCACCAGGCCAGTATTTGCAGCGCCACAAACCGGCGACTGTAGTTCGCACCCGGGACAAGACTGGCGAAACACTGGCGCCGCAAATCCTCCGCGAACTGCAGGTAGCTAGCCACCATCTCCGGTACACCTTCCATTCGCATCTGTCGCCTTAGTACCTTGTAGCTCTCATCTAGACGTTTTATGAACTGCAATAAAAATATCGTCATTGCAGTTTTTAAGATTATTCAGCAGACAAAAGGTGAACAAAATTAAAAGATTAAAATGGTTTTTCCGCCTTGAGTAAGCGTGGTGATTAATGCTTAAACCTTCTCCGTTGCTAATCTGATGATTTTTTTATTTATTTAGTACAAAAAATCTTCCTACACTCTCATTACAGGTTATGTTCCCAATACGACAGTGAGGCTTAACCTAGTATAAAATGAACTTACAGTACTAAAAAGAAATTATACAAAAAGAAAACAAAAATAATAATAGCAATAAAAGTAACAGCAATAACAAAGAGAGACTTTCGATATATATACATCTTAACCTATGTTTTATAACACTACTAAATTACCTTACATAATAACTACAACTAACCTAAGATTAAATCAAATACAACATGAGGAACTAGTCACTATCGTAACTTAAAATAAATAATAATGTTCTTGCGAATTCACTCGAAGCATGATGTTTTGAAACACGAAAATGAAATTTGTTTCCGCGAACCGGTACTGTTTCCTGATTGAAGTTAATATTTAGGTTTAAAGATTAACTTTATTAAATCATATTAAAGTTAATTATGACCATGTCAACAATATTGGGCGATAATTTGATAGTCACATTTATTAAAAGAACGCTCATTTCAAAGTATTTAATGTTTATGAAAATAATGTATTTTTGAGAAAAATACAACACGTGACATTACCGAGGTAAGACAATAAGTCTTGATTTGCAGGAAACTATTATTATGATAGAAATATGGGCCGTTTCTACCGGGATGAAATCACTGCATCGTTGTTCGTACTTGAATGAGTGAAGATATCTACTCCCCACCTTTGGGTGGACGATAGGGTGGAGATCACAACGCACTTGTAACTCTTTTGGTGTAGCGAATATCTATGGGCTGCGCAGATTGCTTACCATGAGGCGAGGAAAGTATATTACCTTGTTGATGTTGGAGAGTAGCAGCTGTCTGAAGTTGGGCGCCTGCACGTTGCAGTTGTACCTTAGGGCGCGCAGCACGACGCGGAGCTCCGCCCCCTGCAGGGGCTCCGTACTGCGCGGGGACTCACACACCACGCACATACACAGGACGCGATTCTATTAGGGTGACACATATTCAATCAATTGTTGTTTAATAATCAACTTTCGCAACTCATTGACGTGACGAGGGACTCGACAAGTTTCAAGTCATCATTGTGCAATATGTGCGACATGAGTAAACCGTTACACATAATGATCAGCTTGTATATGTATATCTTTTATAGTTACTTTGACTTGTGTCTGACTAAACTACACTATTTTTTTAGTTAGATCCTAAACTGCAAAACGTATTGTTAGAAAAGTTAGTTCCAAATTGATTGACTGGTTTATAACTATATTTTTACACTTATTGTGACGCAAGCGCCAAACAAGTAGTTACTATTGCAATCATAATCTCTAAAAACTTATTCCAGTATTTTACCTACTACTGTATCAAACTGTATCACATAAAAAGTAAGCCTGTACTATATCCTTGGTACTAGAGAAAGAAATACTAAGCACAAATTAAAAAGCTTTGCCCTAATTGAAAGTTATGATAGTAGCAATATGTTTCGGTGAAACGAGTCACGGACTCAATTAGACAACTTTGCTATCACTTTTTTATCAGGCGTTCATTACGAAATTCTAGATATCTCAAAGTTTGATTTCGCCACCAGTGTATAGGTAAAAGATAAAAGGATAATGAATGAAACCTCATCAACGGCGTCTACAGCAGCTCGCTTGAGTAGGTCGTAGCTGATGAGTCCCCTCCACAGTGGTGCGTCGGTCCCCGCGAGGGAGGGCCGGCCACCCTCCTCAGCCCTGAGTCGGCGCGCCACCCGCACCAACATGAGCACACACTTCAGTTCCTGCGCCGACACTGACGAGCTGGCCGATCTGATGTACGACAGTCTGCAACACGACATTTTTGCATGAAAGGCATATAATTATGCAGACAGGACAATCACTTATCTCCTACAAATTTTATATTATAAGTAAACTGCACGATTAGCGCCGTGGCTGGGCAACTAGCTGCCGTGCAACGTGTTGCAACTTCAATTCATGCACAAATTGTTGCTCCGGATCTGGGTAAACTTATGTCAAATTGTATGTGGAGAAATTCCTAGTGTGGGCAAACGTTTCAAAACAAATGTGAAAGTTTCTGAGAATTATCGATGAATGTATGTTATTCTTTAGATAGGTGATACGCTAGATTAAAAGATAGACTGCATTTTATCAACATACCACGCACGAAACCGCAAATTAAAAAGAAATGAAACTAACAAAGTTTTAAATGCAACCATAAAATGTTTGAGAAAACTTTTTTAAACTAGTATTAAGAGCCCAATAGTGATTTAAAACTAGTCCGCCTATACTTAAAGAATTATTAAAAGTGAGCTAGCCGTACCTATAGTTATAAATTTTTGGTACAATAGTATTAGAGTTTACAATAGTCATTAATTAAAAGTATTGTATAATTTTGTATGGTGCACACAGATAAAAATGTAGTAACACGGTACTCACAAATCGTGCAGTAGCTGTTCCCGCTTGGTGCAGGCCCGCACGAGTAGCTTCTCGAGCACGGCGAGCTCCCCCGCGTCCGTACTGGTCCGCGCGGCCTGCAGGCACGGCTGCACCAACTCTGTGCTTATTTGTGCAGTATCGCACTCCGAACACAGTTTGTCTAGCATCGCTTCTACAGCTGCACTTGCCTGTAAATAATGATTTACTGATGTATATAGTCAGTGTGCTATCTGCCACTCAGATCTAAATAGTGCTAACTTTATTGTTTTTAGGTTTTCTAAGGGGTTTGGGAGAACCACGACCATGCTTCGGCACGCCCGGAGTGATGTCGCGGCCTCACAGTAAACTTGCATGAAAGAACAACAGCGTTGTGTTTCGCCGTGTGAGATCCCTAATCTCCAAAAGGTCGGAAACGTACTCGTAACTCCTCTGTAATTGCGGGTGTCTATGGGCGATGCCGATTGCTTACCATCAAGTAATCCACCTGTTCATTTGCCGATCTATCACATAAAAAGGGTGTAATCGAAAGGCTTCAGACTCTTACTGAATAAAGACCACTCCGTTCCTTCTTCTGCTCCAAGTCGAGGCCACGGACACACGATACCTTATTATACTTAGTGGATTGCGAGTGCACAATCCTGGATTATACTGCTACATGACTTTAACAACTGCCATAATGACATACTTGAAGCAAAGAAGACAATAACTTACCGAGTTCCTGAGCGCAGAGTCCCTCAGCGCATGGACAAGTTCCCCGGGCTGCAGCAGCGTCAGCAGGAGGCGCGCGCGCAGGTGTGTGGCGAGGCAGGCGGCGCACACGTAGTAACTCTTGCGGCCCCGGGACAAACATCTCAGCGCTACCGACAGCATCTCCAGCGCTGCACTGTCGCCTCACGTACAAACGCATACATTTACACTACCGTATTTAAGAAAGGCTCTTACTCAACAAATCTGAGACCAGAGTGCCTCATCAAATCACTTCTCCCTCCCGTCCATGGTGGGGCGGGAGCTTGTGTCACACTGTAACTGATTAACCCCCCTCTCCGTTCGCCTTCTCAGAGCGCCTACTGCGAGATATACTTTAATATATGCGAGAGAGACTTTAATGTAATTGAAACCTCTATGAGGTTAAGCGCATTGCTCGAAGTTAAACAACCAACCAGAAGGCTAAACGCGGTCACGTTTTGATTGCGCTAACGTATTATTGATTAATGTAACGCCACAACATTGACGACTCAAAGTTTTAAAACAATATTTTATTTACTCTTCATATACACTACAGCAAAGAAGGGTGTCCTATAGTAAAAAAAAAATAGAATGTAAAGATCACAATACCCACCCTGTAATTTTTGCGGACTACTCATGGAACAGACAATTTTTGCACAGAATGCGTCTGTCTTTTAGAAAAAAAAAACTACATTATTCACTTCAAAAACTTCCAAGTATTCTTACCTCTTGCATCCATATAAGCGCAGTACTTGACAACAACGCCCAGCATCTGTGCAGTGAGATGCCTCACGCTGTCCATGTAATGCTCTAAGTGCCCCCATGCGAACCGAAGTAAGGACTCCACCAAGGAAAGTCCCACCATATTGTTTCCATTGTCGCGTTTGTCGCCACTATCGCGTCTGTCGCCTGTATCGCATCTGTCGTCACTTTCGTTTTCGTCGCCAGTTTTGGATTGGTCCTCATTGTCAAGTTTGTCTTTACTTTCAGGGCTGTTGGGTAGCTGCAACAGTAGCTTGCTGACTTGCAGCAACGTACGAGTCACACCTAGGATGAAGGCAGACTCTGAAGAACTGTAACATGACACGTTGTTTAGCAAATTATTTTTTCTGTTAACAATTATAACTAAATGTTTTGCTTGTTCGTCTAAATAAGTGCTGAAAGCACATACGCTAGCTAGTAACCATACGTCATTAACTTAATTTACATTTAACTGTTTTGTAATAAATTTAAAAAAATATTGGAATCTTATAGGCAAATAAAAGGCACATAAACAATTTTGTAATAGGCAAACACGAAAAAGTATCTCGTATCTTGAGTCTTAAACATGACTGCGCGGTTGGCGCACGAAACAATTATTTGAGATTGAAAAAATAACAATTGAAATATTTTCGCAAAAGCACCTCCAACAATGGAAAAGAAAATCCAAAATGGAAAAACAACGGGTCCAAAACGGGTCTGGGTGTGAAGTGTATGTGAATTTGTACGACACAGGAGAAAATCCTAATGTGGGGCAGTTTTTTTTTTTAAAAAAGAAGAGTTTTTCAAGTTTATTGTTAAACTTCACGTCCTTATCTCACTAACCTCTCTCCAATCTCGAGTATCCTGTCAGTAAGTACAATGATAGCGACTCCATCCTCCAACGTCCGCGTGAGGAGCTGGTCAGGCGGAACCACGGTGGGCACGGCGGAGTACAGGCTGAGCCGACCCGCTTCTAGTTGCATCAGCTTGCTCAGTTCGTTGCTTGCACTGCTTGAGTTTAGTACCTGGAAATATATTAAAATAATAATTCTGAGTAAAAATTAAAATGATTCAATGACTTCTCTCGCCCAGGGTGAGGCGAGAGTTCGCAAGCCTCGCAGCTGAGCCGCAGCCTCGGCCCAGAACAGGAGAAGAAATGGGGTATTTTACTCAGTAAGGCTGATACTCTTGAATAGAGAGAGAGAGAGAGAGAAACCACTAGGTGACTTTTGACCCACCATCCCTCCCCAATCCCTAATTCTGTGAAACCCTAGGTCCCCAAAAAGCAATGAATCGCACTCGTAACACCTTTGTTGTCCATTGGCGGTTGGCGGCGCTGACTGCTTACCATCAGGTAAACAGCAAGCTTGCTTGCCAACTTATCACATAAAAAAATATAGTATGTGTCTTGATATATGAGGAAAGAACTATACCATATTGTGTAAATAACAAAGCCACTTAATGCTTCACTGGAATGGTCTGAATTGCTGATGCAATCACAACTTAGATTACTTGAGATACGGACAACACTCACCTGTATCCAACTGTCAGTTCCCTTCTCCGTAACATGCATGGTCAGGTACAATATCCCACTCAAAGACTTTGTGTCCATGGGAACATCATCATCATACATCAGGTCATGAATATTCAGCCTTATGTCGTCGAACATTAGGATCAATTTACCTAAACTATCATTTGTACTCCTCTGAATGATATGTAGAAGTAATCGCAATGTCAGATGACATAAATTAAATATTTCATTCTTTTCCGTTGGGGATAATGTGTTCTGTTCCCTGAAAATAATTATTGATAAATAAATTACATGATTTAAGGACAACATTAATAAAATAAAGAAATATGTACTTTAAGATTATTAAAAATCAATAAGTACAATCAAAAATTTTGGGATCTTAAATAAAAGTAATAAAAACATTAATATAAAATCTAGCTTCTGCCACCAGATTCACTCTTGGTACCAGGGTGAAAAGTAGTCTATGTGTTATTTCACACTAAAATACACCAGTCAAAGTCTCTTATTTTTATATAAAAAAAGTATAGTAGTAGTAATTAGTGGGATAAGACTTTTTTGTCCAGAAACAATAATTAATTTAATATTTCATTGCAATTCATGACACTATTAAATATTTCTTGAGTTTATATTAAATATTCTTTAAATACATATAATACCAGTTATAAAGTCTATACCTGAGAGTAGTGGTGCAGCACCGCAAGCAACATTTCAAATACTCAGCAAGAGTAACTTCCACACTCCGCAGAGCCACAACGCCAGCAGGAAAGTTTTCAATGCTAATCATCAGCTTACCAACCACATCCACATACTGCTTGTAGTTCGATGGATTCTCCGATATCTGAGACAACACTTGAGAAGCCAACTCCTCGGAGAATGGTTGCTGTAACTTGTTATTTTTAATGATATGCCTGTAAAATAATAACAATTATTACAAGAGCTCAAAAAGATTATGATTTTAGTCGTTTGAAATTTATAGTAAAAAAATAAAAATATGTTATGGTTGCTGGCATGAATGTTTCGTTGTAAAACACTTATTTTTTAATTTAATTTTTAAAAAATTTACATTTTTAATTTTAATAGGTAAGTTTATTAGTAGATTATATATTTTAATAATATGAGTGCTAAAATCGATTTACCTTGATATAAAACATTTTATTGGATGTTTTGCCTCGGCATGGAAAAAGGTTGCAACTAAAAACTTTAATACAACATTGTCAAATCCCTCCTTGCTCGCATCTATTATATTTTTTATTATTACTAATTGATCGTCTGAACATGTTGACTTAATAAATGCCTGGATTTCTTCAGTAGATTCAGCTGAAATTCATAAATTGTTTTGATGAATGATAAAGTTATACACATTTCTCTTGTGATAATATTTACTAAATGTAAGGAATTATTTAATATGGACATATGCATTTGTGGTCTATATATTACTACAATTCTTATAAGTATTAAATATATATACATATTACCTGCATTTTCAAATAACGAGGGTGGAAGCTGAATAGGTGAAAATGCAATTGAATTCTTACATTTCCCACCTCCACCGCGATTAATTCTTAACGCTAATCCGTTCATTGCTACAACAAATACTAAATTAAATAGAAATTATAGTTTTTTAAGTGATAAATAATGAAAATTAGTCTATTTATTGCAATGTTTACACCAGTCCCTATGTTTTGCTAACCTCAAAGTTTTTAACTTTGACCATGTCGTTAACGTCACCAAGACGTTATGTCAGATTGACGTTACAGCCTTTTTTCCGAAAGATCTTCAAGCTATTCTAACGATCTTTGTAAACGTTTTACATTAGACGTGATATATTATCTAGATAGACGAGACTATCAATAATAAAGTAATGTTTTGCAGAATACACTTTATTATAATTTATGTACCTATCTATTATAATTTATTTAAGTAAGTACCTACCTAGCCCAGGCGTTTATAAGATCAACTGCAGCTGCAGATGAGTTCCTACATTGGGCATTGCTGAGAGGCTCAAAGAACATATCGCCGCAGTCAAGAACCGACAGAGCAACAAATCAGCGATAGCAGAACACCTGCTCCACTAATCGCCACTACCTTACAAGACTTGTGCGTGAAGCGGTTGAAATAAAGAAATGCCCAAATAATTTCAATCGGGAGGACGGCTTTAAATTGCCGTCGACGTGGAATCCAGTGATTCAGAAAACACAACCTCGCTTTTCTTCAAAGTCGGTTAACAGATATGTGGATACAGAATGTGGTAGAAAGTGAAAATAAGGGAGTAGATGAAGATTCATCGCCCGAATGCAGGGAGCTATGAGCCTGTTACATCGCATCTTCAGTCTGCTTGTGATCACGAACTGTGCAACCAGGCCGAAACGTCAAGCCTACCAAAGTATTTAAATAATTATTTTCTTTAATACCCGCGTTTATAATTACGTTAATACCCGCGTAATTTATGTTGTAAATATTAAACGCGGAAGTTTAAAAGTTACTATTTGCTCATTCCAAAATGTAGATTTCGATGAAAAGAACGAGTCAGAAACTCCATGGAGATCCATATTCATCAGTTTTTTTACACATGCAGTTTTTTCCCAAAGATCCTGGAACGAAAAATACAATCTCCTGATTTTTATAGCACGCAAGGGTTTTTTTTTTCATAATAATATCATAGGTCGGTGAACCAACATATGGATTACCTACAACACCATAGGAGCTAAGAGCACCTTGCTCCTTCTGGGCATTAGGGCTTCGGAGTTTAGGGAATGGGGAGGAATGGGGAAACGGAAGAATTGGGCATCCGGTAACCTTACTCACACGGTGAAACACAACGCTGTGGTTGTAGAAAGCCGTTTTTCTTTGGAGTCATTCCGATTGGTCGACCCATTCGTAAAAAAGAAGCTTGGCTCCAAAACTTAGATAGGTACTAACTATAAAAACCAGACGAGCGTCTTTTACACGTTTTCGATTACCTAGCGATTTTCGAACACCTACCTAATATTTTTAAGAATCATTAATCGTCTAATCGCACCTAGACGGCCTCCCAAACGACTGATAGACGAAACAAACATTGTGTTGACACGTAACAATAAGTAATTATATCTATACCTACCGCATCTTCCTATACGGCTACTATTTGTTTTTATTTATGTGTAGATACATATCTACTACACGTTGGGTTAATTTAACTTGCCGTATAGGGCTTCGATTTTATGACTACCTACCTATAAATCGATTCAAATTGTACACACACACAAAAGCGGTTTAGACCTATATTTTGATTGGGCATTGTGCATGGAGAATATCATATTTAGCTAGCTAGCGCACCACTCCGGCTTTGCACGGGCACAATGCTGATACCTATTAATTATCTTCACTATTTCTATTACTTATCTGTCAAAAAACTGCATTTAAATCCGTTGCATAGTTTTAAAGATTTAAGCATGCATTAAGGATATAAGGACAGAAATGGTGTTTTAAATACGATCTGTTCGAATACCTCGTACAAGATCGCGAGAGCCGACTAGCCGAGCAAGGGCTGTCGGTTTCGTCATCTTTTCTTTCTATAGGTAAGTATTTCGGAAAATATTCTATATACTTACCTATTGAAAGCAATAGCAACAGATTCACTCTTATCATACGGAAATCTAATTTTTGTATGGTTGCAGACAACCCCTGTCTAGTCCGAAATCGTGGTCAAGCGTGGTGATTTGATATTTCTTAAACTTTCTCCGTGTGATAAGAGAGAAGAGAGATATTGGGAAAATTAAAACAACTTATTAAATTTGTACCACTTTTGGGAAATTTAAAACAACTTATTAAATTTTTGAAGAAAAATATAATATTAGATATTTCTCGTCATAATTTTGTTTTATTTACATTTTTATTAAATCTTAATAAATAAATATATTTCTAGACTTATAGTAATCACACTATGACTTATTCAGTCTTGTCGGCGACCTCATCGGCCTTTTGTTCTTTAACTTGCTCTTCTGAAGGTTTTACTTCTGGGGCCTGTTCTGGAACTTTCTCTTCTTTTTTCTCTTCTTGTTTCTCTTCTTGCTCTACCCCGCTGCTGCTGCTGCTACTGTCGTCGTTATTACACCCTGCGAAATAAAAGTAAATTTAGTACAAAGGAAGTGGATTTTTTAACTGTTATTTAAACAAGTTTGTGTTAGTAACAAAAAAATTAATCGATCGGTTGACAATACACATTGTAAGCGGCAAATACATATTAGAATTACACTGTGAGATATAACGAACATAGATATTGTTAGACAAAAATCTTAATACAGGTAAACATTGCAACAACACATCTTTTACTATCTAATCTTAAACTCAGTATATTTACAACAATAGTGAGCGGCCTATTTTGATAATGAAACAGTTTTTAAAAGTTACTTCATACCAGTGTCGTCACGCGCGGTTTTATCCGCTGCTCGGCTTCTACAGATCGTAGCGTGATGTTTTATAGCCTATTATAGCCTCGATAAATAGACTAACGAACACTAAAAGAATTGTGTAACCGAACCAGCAGTTCCGGAGATTCGCGCTCAAACAAACGAACTCTACAGCTTTGTAATATAAATACTTATGGATATAAAGTCAAATACGTGCAACGCAACGAGACATTCCGTGCGGGTATCGAACCCGCGATACCACTACCCCATTCGTGACGCCGCTAACATTCAATCTGCTATAAATATTCTTATGTTGACGTTAACGAGTATTTCTTTAATCTTCCCGTCCATAGTTACCCGTAGGTACCGTTATGGCAATAAAGATGAGCTTTGTTAGACAGTGTATATGTATGTACACATGTCGCTCTTTCAAAGAAAACCTGATTTTTCGAGGAAAGAAAGTTGGCTTAGAGTCAACGTGCTAATATTAAGTGCGAAGAAAGGTACATTGTACTTTACTATGTATAGCTACGCTTCGTTATTTTGGTGTAATTTATACTACTTATTTAGTAACTTGTACGAAATGAAAAGGATGTTTTATTTAAAACTAGCTACTCTCACGCCGTTTCACCCGCTGCTCAGCTACATTTCATCGAAGCGTGATGTTGTATAGCCAGCCTATAGCACCCAGGAACATTGTAGCTATCTATCAGTGAAAGAATTTTGCCCATCCTACCAGCGGTCCCAAAGATAACCCCCTACATACAAACTTACAAACTTACAAATTTTACCTCTTTATAATATTAGTATAGAATAATCTTTGCCCCACACTAGGATTTTTTCCTGTGTTGTGGATACGTTTACAAACATACAATTTCAAATGCACATCACACCAATACCCAACACAACAATACGTGGATCACACAAAGAATGGTATCGTGCGGGAATCGAACCCGCGACACGTTGCCTAGCCAACGCGCCGATCGTGCTGTCGCACTTTGGTTTCTTGGTATGTCAGACGACTTCGGTCAACTGATAATTTTCCATGTGGAAAAACAAAATAAAAAAAAACGTTCGTAATGAAATACCTACTTATGCATATGTAAAATATCGAATGATTGACTGTGTGTGATACAAGTACTTAACGTTCCGTTCTAATTATTACACAAAGCAGCGTGTTTACATTCCTAATTACTTAGTTCTGTAATTCAGTCACGAAAACTGTTACATACTGCGTACAAAGCACACGTAATAATAATGCGTACCTAGTAATAATATCTTGGGCTGGGTTAGTATGACGCCTACCTAGCGATGTAGATACATATCTATATATTTGTATTAAAAAGGTACATAGAGGCGTGCTATGCCTTCGCGATAGTTAAAAACTAAAATGCCGGATATATTTTTGCCTAACATTATGATTTGCATGCGGCAATAATTTATGGACGACAGAAAGTGTTGTTTAATACGCGACACGTTGCACGGCAGTCAGTTGCTTATACTGTGCAGTACATGAAGCTTATATGAGATAACAAAGAACAGACATAAAGGCTCCAGCGATACCTCTGCAGAGACCCACCTCACGACACAGAGAACAAGAACACAAAAGCAACAAGTGGAACAAAATCACTACGGCCCCATGGTTGCCTGGTTACACACAAAACAATGTCTTCGGTACCTGGATGTTAGCACCGATAGTGTTTATAGCACTGTTCACTGCTGTGCTGACAGTAGTTGCGGTACCATTTATTACAGCACTTATAGTGCCTATTAGACTATTGACGAAAACACTCCAAGCCGCCACTGTTGGGAAATTGATGACACAATGTAACGAAAACACTATAATATTTTTATAAGCACAGTGTTCAAAATGTAAACGGAGATATTGTAGATATTAACTATCAAGTATGACATGGATGAAATAAGAAGAGAAATTAGGTAGAAGAAATAGAATGTTAAATGTTTAAAATTATGAAACAAAAAAAGAAAAAATAGGTAAGACTAAGTTAACCTATTAAGTGCACTTACCAGTATTTGGACCTCCCTTTTTTGGTTTGGTGTCAACTGGTACCTCCTCGGGCTTCTTGTCTACCTCAACATCTCTCGGTTTCTCGGGGTTGTTGAGGTTCTGTAACTTCTGCACGGCACCAGTTATTCCCTTGGTGATGGGGTTGTTCTGGAGTATCTGCCGGATGGGTCCGACAGGGGCAACTGCATCAGCCTGTGTGGCGGATGCTGGAGTCTCTGCTACTGGTTTCGCAGGTTCTGCCGTTTCTTGAGGTTTGCTAGCTGGTTCTTCGGGCTTAGCTACCGTTTCAGGTTGTGGAGCT